TCTCTCTGTTTCTCCCCTCTGGAAATCTGACTTTCCAGTACAAATAAATAAATCTTTTTATTATTATTATTTTTTTGAAAGGCTGAGCCAGCTGCTTCAGAGAGACAGAGCGTGAGAGAGATGTTTTATCTGTTGGTTCATTCTCCATTTGGTTGCAGTGACCCGAGCTGGCCTGGTCTGAAGCCAGGAGCCAGGAGCTTTATCTGTGTCTCTCAGGTGAGTGCAGTGGCCTATGCACTTGGGTTATATCTGGCTGCTTTTCCAGGCACATTAGCAGGAAGCTGAACATGTAAGACTGAAACTAATGTTCATATGGGATACCAGTGCCCCAGTCTGAGAATTAGTGTGCTATGCAAACGTGCCAGCCCCTGCATTTTATGTTTTTACCAGCAGTGTTTGGGTATTCCAATTTCTCACATCATCATAACACTTGCTATTATCTGTCTTTAATATAACCATCCTAGTGTGTGTAAAGTGACATTGTAGTAGAGATATCTTCTATCTGCTGCTTCGTTTCCCAAATCGCCACAATGGCCAGAGCTGGGCCATAAGACTGGGCCCAGTAGGGGTGTGTGTGTGTGTGTGTGTGTGTGTGTGTGTGTTTGTTGCAGGGAGGGGTTGGGGACCAAACAGAAAATCCAGAAAAGAAATTGACAAGCTGATTTAAAAATCATCATGAACATGAAAAAATATTGACCATTCTGTAGTGGTCAAAATAACCTCGAAGAACAAGATGAAAGGATATTTACTGTGTACCTTCAACACTGAAAATGAAACTACAGTAATAAAAACTATGATATTGGCCTACGTATGTGTATATATATATATACACACATATACATTTATATATAAATACACACACCACACATACATGTATATGTGTAGAGATCAGGTGAACAAAATAGAAGGTTTAGAAATAAACCATTGTTTATAAATTATACCTTCAATAGCATGACAGTTTAAAAAAATCCCACATTGTAAACAACCAAAGTCTGGAGGAAGGAATACTTTCTCTAAGAAGTTTGGAGTATAAAGTGTGTTAGGGCAGACTTCTCAGATTGAAACATTCCATCAGATTATGCGAGCTGGAATAGTGTAGCTTTGTTAATGATTGCTAAGCTGCTAAGCCAGCTGCTTCAGAGCTGTGTTACATCTTTGTTAGAAGCCAAGTCCTTGGGTTTGCTGAGCATTCACAGTGTTTCCATGTGGAGTTCTGTAGGCATTTCAGGAGCCAAAGCCTAAGAACTAATCAGTGGCAAAGATAATGAAGAGAACAAATTGTATTTAGAGGGTTCCCCTCCAAGGACACTTTTTTTCTTTTGTTTTTACTTGAAAGGTGGAGTCAGCCAAACAAAAAAATATATTTACTGGTTAGTTCTCCAAAATGCCTCCAACAGCCAGCCTTGGGGCAGGTTGAAGAGCCATCTGGGTCTGTCACATGGGTGGCAAGGGCTTAGGTACTTGACCTGTGGTCCGCTACCTCCCATGGTATACATTAGCAGGAAGCTGGATTGGAAGTGAAGGAGGCTTGAACTGGGCCTTGAAGCAGGCACCACATATGGGGTGCTGGTGTCAACAGGTGTTCAATACCTATGGGACTTGGGACTGACTGCCTATGGCAACTTACCCTCTTAGTAACACAGATTCTGAGAGAAGAGGGAGGAAGGTACCGGGAGAGTTGAATGAATTCTGGGTTAAACCCTAATATACTTTTTAAATATTAATTTTTTTATTGGTAAGTTAAGGAATACAGGAAGGAGGAGAGACAGAGGAAGATCTACCATCTGCTGATTCATTCCCCAAGTACTGCAACTGCCAGAACTGAGCCAATAGAAAGCCAGGAGCTTCTTCTCAGTCTCCCACGAGTGAAGGATCCCAAAGCTTTGGGCTGTCCTCGACTGCTTTCCCAGGCCACAGGCAGGGAGCTGGATGGAGAGCAGGGCTGCCAGGATTAGAATCAGCACCCATATGGAATTCCGGTGCGTTCAAGGTGAGGTCTTTAGCCGTTAGGCTACAGCGCTGAACCCAAGCCCTAATATTGACAGTTAGTCATAGACTTACCACTGATTTGCTGTGATTCTTGGATAAGTCATTTAGTTTTTGGCTGCTTTTCTTCCTCATTTTCAACTTATAGATGTGGACTGAGTGATTATTTAAGATCCCTTTCAGCTCTGAAATCCTGAGAATCTTCAGATCTGAGAATTCCCACTTCCCCAAATAGGAGCATTTTCTCAATGATATCAGAGAACCTTTTTCTGTCATCTCTTTGGCAGATTGCATTCCCCTGGCAGAAATGAAACTGGATCAGAATCTATTTTTTTCTAGCTTGATTTCATCTTTAGCTTCTACACTCTGTAACAGTAACAGATGGGCAGAAAATGTTTCCCCACATTCTTGAAGTGGAATAAATAGCAGGCTGCGATTAGCCTTTTCAGCCGCCCTTGGACTCTGAATAGTATCTGCTGCAATTGGGAGCACAAATGCCAAATAAAATTCGTGCCAGGAGATGGTGAGATATAGACAAAAATACTCATGATTCGTATCAGGAGTTCAGTGTCCACTTGTCACTTATGTATTTCAGACTGACTGTGGAAGACACCTTGGAGTAGTTGGCGCCACCATCCCATTGCCGCCGGTGCCTTGTTGCGCTCCCTTGTGGACAGAGAGCTTGAGAGAGCTGACCTTTAGGCTCTGGTGTCATTCTCACAGCTTTAGTTTCCTTGGCACATCAAACCTCCACACACTTTCAGCCATTATAGTCAGCCCACAGAGCACCCCTCTCTCTTTTAATTGCCTATTCTTTGTAATTGCTTTGTTAATTTTTTAAAATTGCATTTCATTTTATGACATTGTCTCATAGGCTCTGAGGTTCCCCCAACCCCTCCTCGTACCTTCCCCCCATGGTGGATTACTCCGCCTTATTGCAGTGTTACAGTTCAAAACCAGCCTTGTTTCTTTCATTGCAAGCATGTACCATACGTAAAGTCCAGCATCTTATTGTCCAGACCAATTCAACAGTTTCTTGGGGAAACCATCTCTGGTCTAAAAGCAGAGCTGGCAGAGTATCGTTCCGACCAATTAAAAGCCATGACATAACATCAACAACAGTTTACAACATTATGGGGTTAATTGATGTGGTATTGAGCGACTGATTCTTTGCAAATGAAAAATGCAAGCAGAATCAGAGATTGTCTTTTGAGAGGCTAATAACGTATTCAGTTTCATTGAACCCAGAAAGTAAGTTGACACAGGTAAAAGCAAATTTGTGTGATTTCTGGCAGAGGATCAGTGGTGGTTTGGCAGAAATCCATGCGCCCAGGAGTTCCCTTTAGGTACCGAAAGTACTCTTGGAGGTGGAGCACTTGTCCAGCTCTGGATGTTTGCATGCTTGTGTGTCTCATCATAGACCTGATGGTGAAGGTACGCTCTGTGGTCGCTTGTCAGCATCTTGGTAGAGAGTAGGGGTTATTGATAGAATGGTAACATACTAGTCCTGGCCATACTTAAAATTTTAGACCCAGTGCATTGGCCTAGTGGCTAAAGTGTTCACCTTGTGCACACTAGGATATGATATGGGCACCAGTTCTAATCCCTGCGGTTACCAGTTCCCATCCAGTTCCCTGCTTGGGGCCTGGAAAAACAGTTGAAGACAGCCCTAAATCTTGGGACTCTGCACCCAAATGGGAGACCCGGAAGGAGGCTTGGGGCTCCTGGCCTCGGATTGGCTCCGCTCCTGCCTTTGCTGCCACTTGGGTAGTGAATCATCTAATGAAGATCTTCCTTTCTGTTTCTTCTCCTTTCTGTATATCTGACTTTGCAAGAAAATAAATAAATCTTTAAAAAGATTCTATCAATCTGATTGGGTTGCTGAATGACTCTGTAAATTCAGTCCTCCTTCCCCAAATTGAGGTTCATTCTTCTTACGCATTTTGATCATATTGCTGAAAGAGAAAGGTTATCCCTAAACCGTTTTGGAAACAGCTTATAAATTCATTATGTATTAGGTGTGTTTGCAGGAACTGCTCTTAATGGCAGAAGAAATACACTGTTAGGTTTTAAAATGCACTTAAAGTTGTTATGCGCAGCGAATTCCTGCAGCCAAGTCCTCTTTTCACAATTAGTTTCCTGCAAGCCAAAATACCATACACGATGAGATATTAGGAGATCCTTTTATTCCAAAGGGATAGGAACAGGAGCGGGGAGACAGGAAGGGAAACATCTCCTGCCATGGTGGCAGGATTAGAGCTGCCAGAGCAAGGGAAGGGGAAGCATGGAGGACAGGAGTGCCAGGAGGGGCAGGGGCACACGTGGAGGATCACTTACACAGCACTGGTGAGCCTCAAGGTGAGGAATTGGTTGGGAAGAACTGTAGGCAGGGCCCCAAGGGACTGCTGATTGACATGATCTGAGCCACGGGTAGGTGGGTGGGGACTAGAGGGAGGGGAAGCAGGAAGCTGTGCCAGGTCCTGGACAGGATGTTTGAATCATTCCTCACAGGTGGATCTTCCTCTCTGCCTCTCCTCCTCTCTGTATATGTGACTTTCCAATAAATAAATTTTTAAAAAAAATTACTTTATTTTTATTGGAAAGTCACATATACAGAGAGGAGGAGAGACAGAGAGGAAGATCTTCCGTCCGATGATTCACTCCCCAAGTGAGCGCAACGGCTGATGCTATGCCAATCCGAAGCCAGGATCCAGGATCCAGGAACTTCCTCCAAGTCTCCCACACAGGTGCAGGATCCCAAAGCATTGAGCCATCCTCAACTGATTCCCAGGCCACAAGCAGGGAGCTGGATGGGAAGTGGAGCAGCCAGGATTAGAACCGGGGCCCATATGGTTTCCTGGTGCATTCACGGTGAGGACTTTAGCCACTAGGCCACGCTGCTGGGCCCCCTTAACTTTATTTGTTAACCAAATTCAGAAATGTTATTATTGATCATTCTTCCCATTTAACAGATTCCTATGGGAATAATGGTTTCTTATCCTCTCTCCTTTCAGGTTCACCAAGAATCTTTCCCCAGACAAAATCAACCTGAGCACCCTGAAAGGAGAAGGTCAGCTGACCAACCTGGAGCTGGATGAAGAGGTTCTGCAGAATGTGCTGGAGCTGCCCACCTGGCTGGCCATCACTCGAGTCTACTGCAACAAGGCCTCCATCCGGGTGAGGCGGGGGGTCAGGGTGCTGCTGTGCTCCTTGGCCAGCAGGCCTGCCTCCTGGGTGGACAGCTCCCCAGCTCTGAGCCTTTGCTTTCCTCTTGCAGATTCAGTGGACAAAGCTGAAGACACACCCGATCTGCTTGGTAATGGCACTTCTTGGTTATGAGTAATCAACTTGGCACAATGGGCACAGGACTTTACAATACAGGGGAGGAGAAGGGGAGGAACTGGGATGCGCTGACCCTTTGGAGAGTGCTGGGTGGTTCTTGGGAGCCTGGTAAGTGTCTCCGTAAGTCAGAGTGACCATTGTCTAGACTTACTCTGGAACTAATGTGCAGGACAGGAATAATCACCAAGACCTGTGTTGTCTAGAATTCTTGCTGTCCTGTGGATTCCTTATTTTTTTCCTGAGAATCCTGGCAGAAGCCAAATTAGAAAGGTACTTCATGTTGACTGTTGGGTGATATTCAGCATAGAGTGTGCTGGTTTTTGTTTGTTTGTTTGTTGTACCATGTCTGCCTCTGTGCGGGTGCTTAGCTTCAGCTGGCTTTTGTTGCAGTGTCTGGATAAGGTCGAGGTGGAGATGAGGACCTGTGAGGAGCCCCGGCCTCCCAATGGACAGTCTCCCATTGCCCTGGCTTCCGGACAGAGGTTAGTGGCTTCAAGCCCTGTTATTTCCAACGTGTGAATTGCTACAGTCTTTTCTTTAAAAGTAACCTGAAACTTCTCATTGTGGTGAGCATAGTGTAACGAACCCCCGTTCCCAAGACCTGCTTCAGCCATGACCGGCACTTTGCTTCTCTTTTTTCATATTTTTCCTGCCACTCAGTGTGTGTGTGTGTATTTGTGCATGATTGTGTGCATACATACTGACTCCAATCCCGGGTGCTAAATGTGATTTCAGCCAGCAATATTGCTGTATTATATGTCTGTAACAGACACTGAACACAGTGAAAACCACTCTCATATTCAGTGAAGTAACAAGAATTCCCTAATGTCATCTAGCACCTTGATAATACATGTTCCTGAGTTACCTCCAAAAATGTTTGTTAACAGTATAGAGTGAATAAAAGAGGTTTCCAGGGCCAGTGCTATGGCATTGTAGGTTAGGCTGGTGTCTGCAACACTGTCTTCCCATAGGGGAACTGGTTCGAGTCCTGGTTGCTCAACTACTTCTTTTCTTCCTTTTTTTTCTTTTCTTTTCTTTTCTTTTCTTTTCTTTTCTTTTCTTTTCTTTTCTTTTCTTTTCTTTTCTTTTCTTTTCTTTTCTTTCTCTTTTCTTCTCTTTTCTTCTCTTTTCTTCTCTTTTCTTTCTTTCTCTTTCTTTCTTTCTTTTCTTTCTTTCTTTCTTTCCTTCTTTTCTTTCTTTCTTTCTTTCTTTCTTTCTTTCTTTCTTTCTTTCTTTCTTTCTTTCTTTCTTTCTTTTCTTGAGATTTACTTATTTTTATTGGGAAGGTAAGTCAGACTTACAAAGAGAAAGACACAAAAATCTTCTATCCACTGTTTTAATCTGCAAGTGGTCACAATGACTGGAGCTTAGACCATCTGCAACCAGGAGCCAGGAGCTTCTTCTGGGTCTCCCACACAGGTGCATGGTCCCAGAGCTTTTGGCTGTCCTTGACTGCTTTCGCTGGTGATAAGCAGGGAGCTGGATGGGAAGTGGCACAGTCAGGACATGAACTGGTGCCCATTTGGGATTTTGGCACCTACAAGGTGAGGATTTAGCAATTGAGCCATTGTTCTGGGCTCTGCTCCACTTCTGATTCAGCTCCCTTGCTAATGCACCTGGGAGAACAGCTGAGTATGAACCAACTCCTTGGACCTCTGACCCTCTCTTGTAACTCCCCCTATAGATAGATAGATAGATAGATAGATAGATAGATAGATAGATAGATAGATAAAAGAGGTCCTTATATAGTATTTGGGTGCTATTCTTTTGAGACTTTAATAGTCTCACATCCCCCTCTTAATACACTTTTTGTGGGGCCGGCATGATGGCTCTTTTGGCTAATCCTTCTTCTGAAATTGCCATCCATATAGGTGCTGGTTCATGTCCCAGGTGCTTCACTTTCGATCCATCTTTCAGCTTATGGCTGAGGAGGTTGGTGGAGGATGGCCTAAATAAAGCCTTGGGACCCTGCACTTGGGAGGGAGACCCAGAGGAAGCCCTGGCTTCAAATTGGTTCAGCTCCAGCCAAGGTGGTCTTTTGGGGAAGTCAACCAACAGATGGAAAATCTTTCTGACTCTCCTCATCTCTGTAAATATAACTTTCTAATAAAAATAAATAAATCTTTTGAAAAATGTACTATTTGGACCCAGCATGATAATCTAGTGGCTAAATCCTTGCCTTGCATGTGCTGGGATCCCATATGGGCACCATTTTGTATACTGCTTGCTCCATTTCCTTTCCAGCTTCCTGCTTGTGGCCTGGGAAAGCAGTGGAGGATGGCCCAAAGCCTTGGGACCCTGCTTTTTCATGGGAGACCCCAAGGAAACTCCTGGCTCCTGGCTAAGGATTGGCTTAGCTCCAGCCATTGCGGCCATTCAGGGAGTGAAACAGTGGATGGAAGATCTTTCTGTCTCTTCTTTATGTAAATTTAACTTCCCAATAAAGATAAAAAGAAATCTTCAAAAAATGTTCAAAAAATCTATTTACTCATTGTAGAAAATACTTTTTTTAAAAGGTTTTTCCTTACATTATATTTTGACTGATTGTATCCTTAAAGTTTCATTTAAAATGTTTCTCATTGAATCTGATGGTTAGATTTACAGGATTGATTTGATTCTATTTATTTATTTATTGGTTTTGTTTTCTTGGTAAAATGTTTTTTTTTTTTTTTTAAAGATTTATTTTTATTATTTTTTCATTGGAAAGGCGGATATACAGAGAGGAGAGACAGAGAGGAAGATCTTCCATCCGATGATTCACTCCCCAAGTGAGCGCAACGGGCCGGTACTATGCCGATCCGAAGCCAGGAGCCTCTTCCAGGTCTCCCACGCGGGTGCAGGTTCCCAAAGCTTTGGGCTGTCCTCGACTGCTTTCCCAGGCCACAGGCAGGGAGCTGGAAGGGAAGCAGGGCTGCCGGGATTAGAACCGGCGCCCATATGGGATCCCGGGTGTGCAAGGCGAGGACCTTTTAACCACTTGCGCCACCGCGCCGGGCCCATTCTTGGTAAAATGTTTCCAGGAGGAGAAGGATCTCTACTTACTTTTATTTAAAAAAATTTTTTTTAAATTTATTTGAAAGTAGAGTTAAAAAAAAAAGTAAGGGGCCCGGCGCGGTGGCGCAAGTGGTTAAAGGTCCTCGCCTTGCACGCCCAGGATCCCATATGGGCGCCGGTTCTAATCCCGGCAGCCCCGCTTCCCTTCCAGCTCCCTGCCTGTGGCCTGGGAAGGCAGTGGAGGACGGCCCAAAGCTTTGGGAACCTGCACCTGCGTGGGAGACCCGGAAGAGGCTCCTGGCTTTGGATCGGCATAGTATCGGCCCGTTGTGCTCACTTGGGGAGTGAATCATTGGAAGGAAGATCTTCCTCTCTGTCTCTCCTCTCTGTATATCTGCCTTTCCAATGAAAAAATAATAAAAATAAATCTTTAAAAAAAAAAAGTAAGAATTAAGAGAGAGAGAGCTAGATCTTATCTACTGGTTCACTCCTCAAATGGCAGCAGTGGCTAGTGCTGGCCTCTTCTGAAGCCAGGAGCCAGGAACTTCTTCTGGGTGCAGGCTCCAAGCACTTGGGCCATCTTCTGCAGCTTCCCCTGGTGCATTAGCAGGGAGCTGGATTGGAAATGGAACATCTGGATCTATGGGAACTGGCATCACAGTTGGAAGCTTAACTTGCTAGAGCACAACACCAGCCCCTCCTTTGGAACTTTGCCTTGTGATGAGATGCGTGTATGAGTTCTTGTTCTTGGGCCTTGTCAGTACAGAATAATCAGACTTGAGTATCTTTGCCTAATGTGAGAGATGATACATGATATTTAATTGTTTTTTTGGGTATATTATATAAAAGTGATATAATGAAATACACAAATTGTAAGCCCAGTCATTATTTATAAAGTTGGATCAAGAGGCAGAGTGCTTGGGAAGCCTAGATGCTTCTTGTGACCTTTCTGGTCATGCTCACACCCAGAGGTAACTTTTGTACTGGTTTCAAGCAGCATGGGTGAGTTTTGTCTGTTTTTTTTTTTTTTAAGCTGTGTAAATGTAACTATATAGAATATAGTCAATTGTGTCAAGCTATGTTACTTGAGGGTTAAGTTTGGGATATATATAATTCCTTCAGTCTCATCACTATATCATTTTCTATTCCATGAATTTGCCACAATTTCTCTGTGTTGCTATAGGTAGATATTTGATATATTTTTAGTTCCTATTTTTAAGTATAAGATTTATTTATTTTTAGCAGAAAGGCAGATATATAGAGAGACAGACACACAGAGAGAAAAATCTTCCATCCACTGGTTCACTCTCCAAATGGCCACAGCAGCTGGAGCTGAGCCGATCTGAAGCCGGGAGGTAGAAGCTTCCTTTGGGTCTATGATGTGGGGGCAGGGACCCAAGGATGTGGGTCATCCTCCATTACTTTCCTAGCCTTAAGCAGGGAACTGGATGGGATATGGAACGGCTGGGACACAAATTGGCACCCATATGTGATGCTGATGCTTGCAGGTAGAGGATTAACCAATACAGCCATCACATCGGCCCCCTCTGCTTATTCAATATATCAATGCCATGTCATTTGTCATGTTGTTGGTTGGTACATGGCTGTATGTATATATTAAATCCCATAAAGTAATACCACAAATGAATTTTTCTATATTCAAATTTAAAATGTGTAAGAAAAATGACAAGGGGAGAGACATGGAAAGAGATCTTTCATCTGCTGATCCATCACTCCCTAATGGCTGCACCAGTCTGGGCTGGGCCAGACAGAAGCAGGGAGCCTGGACCTCCATCCTGGTTTCGCACGTGGGTGGTGAGATGGATTTCTCCAAACTGATTATGCAGGGTTTATTGAAAGAACCATTTTCCCCCCATTGCCATTTCCATTGTCATAATGTGATTCTCAGCATAGTTTTGATTAGGCTGACCACTTCAAAAAAAATTTTTTTTTTCATTTTAGATGATGTCTACCTAGTTGATCAGGATGGGAAAGATCCAGGGTTAGGGAAAAGTTGGTTTGATCATTGCTTCCAAACTTTCTATTTCCTCTTTCTATTTCTGGGAGGAGGGGGAGATAAGGGGAGAAGTTGCACCCAGCCTCCCATCTACCCCAGTACCCAGGGATGGGGAATGGCCCCCCCCCATATCAACTGGGGTCCCAATGTGTTGCAAACTCCCAGGGATCTGTCCAGGTGAGTGATAGTTCTGAATGCTAGTTCTGTCGATCTTGCCAATCAGATGTTGAGGGAACACTTCCAATATCCATTCGCTGGCAGTGCCAACCTTAATGTCTCCATTTGCCAACATATTTAATGTCATTGTTTGGCTGGGGTATTTGTCCGATATGTTCTGTTCTCCATCCTCTGCTGTGGTACCAGAAGTTCTCTGCAGGCCCCGATGGTCTGCCAATCCACTATGTACCATCGACTACTCCACCACTCTGTCCTTTATACTGAGAAGGACTAATTCTCACAGGTGCGCTCATGGACGTGGGCCAGGCGACCTGTCCCTGGGGCTCAGGTTGAGCACTTTTTGTTTAATACTTGTTTGCACCTATTTTTTCTGTAATCTATTTGTAGTTTGTCCTGCTTTTATTGGGTTTTTGGTCTTTCCCCTATCCGCTGCAAATTTTGAAGTCCTAGGAATATTAGTCCTTTTTTATAAATTGCAGATCTATTTTTTTTTTCCTGTTTGCTTTTCTGGGCCTCCTTTTTATCTGTGGTAGTGAGAAGTGGTTTCCCCCACAAGTCCGGAGTGCCTGTTGTCCTCATGCAGAGGGGCTGTCAGACGTTGTTCCTGTCTCTCTCTCTCTGCTGCTTTTGGCCTCACTCTGGAGTGGCATTCCGTCTCTTCCTAACCTGGGCTGAGTTCCTGTCATCCTCCCATCGCCTTTGCAGAATACTCTCTGTCTTTGAAGATTTTATACAAACCCATATTTTCTTTTGGTTGTTTATATCACCCCTCAGAAACAGTATCTATAATATTTATTCAGGGACTTTGTGAGATACAAAAAAAATTATGAATTTATTTTTAGTAGGGGGAAGGTAGTTGCTAGGTCAACTCTTTTTCCTATATTCCTTTTTAAAAGTCCAATTAAAAAGAATATTCCATTGTCATCATAAATAATTTAAAAAGATAAAAATATATAAGGCACAAGAAGAGAAAATTAAAGACAATCATCTATAATAGTTGTTGCACCAAACAGTTTAGTCTGACATCTTCCGGGGTAAAGGTTGGCGTGAAGGTCAGGTTAAGCCACCGTCTGCATTGCTGGTATCCCATCTAGGCACAGGATCAAGCTGAGGCTGCTCCACTGCCTGGGAGAAGCAGAAGACAACCTGGGAACCCCAGATAAAGCTTCTGGTTCCTGGCTTCAACCGGGACCAACCCTGGCCATTATGGTCATCTGGGGAGTAACCCAGCAGATAGGAGATCTCTTTTTCTCTCTCTCTTTTAAATAAATAGATAAATAAATATTTAAAAGCGTAAAGACTATGTGGGGATAGCATTGTGGCCTAACAGGTTGGGCTATCTGCAATGCCGCCATTCCACATGGGTGTTGGTTTGAGACTCAGCTGCTCTACTTCTTCTTCTTGTTCTTTTTTTTTTTTTTTTTTGTTGGAAAGGCGGATATACAGAGAGGAGAGACAAAGAGGAAGATCTTCTGTCCGATGATTCACTCTCCAAATGAGCGCAACGGCCGATGCTATGCCGATCTGAAGCCAGGAGCCTCTTCTGGGTCTCCCACATGGGTGCAGGGTCCCAAAGCTTTTTGGGCCGTCCTCGACTGCTTTCCCGGGCCACAGGCAGGGAGCTGGAAGGGAAGTGGGGCTGCCGGGATAGAACCCGTTCAAGGTGAGGACTTTAACCACTTGCGCCACCGTGCTGGGCCCAAGCTGCTCTACTTCTGATCCAGCTCCCTACTAATGCACCCCAGAAGTCAGAGAAAGATGGTTGAGGTACTTGGTTCTCTGCACCCACATGATGGACCTGGGAGACTTTTCGGGTTCCTGGCTTCAGCCTGACCAGCCCTGGCTGTTAGGACCATTTGGGGAGTAGACCAATCAATTGAAGATGTTTCTCTGTGACTGTTCTTTTCAAATAAATAAAGTCTCTTTTTAAAAAGAAGTTGGAACCCACACAGTGTCATAGTAGGGTAATGTTCTGTCTACAGTGCCAACATACCACATGGGTGTCAGCTTGTGTCCCATATGCTCCACTTCCCATCCAGCTCCCTGCTTGTGGGCTAAGAAAGCAGCACGGGATGGTCCAAGGCCTTGGATTCTGCTCCCATATGGGAGACGCAGAAGAAGCTCCTGGTTCCTGGCTTCCTTTCAGTTCAGCTGCAGCTGCTGTGGGCAATTTGGGGAATGAACCAGAATGTGGAAGATGTCTCTCTTTGTCTCTTCTTCTCCCGATCTTTCCAATTAAAATAAATACATTTTTAAAAAGGAAAATAAATGATGAAAATAGAGTGGCTATGTGGAATTTTGGGAAAAAACAGACAACTCCGCCTACAGTCTCCCATGATGGTGATCACGGGGTTGCTCTCTTTGTAGTGAGTACGGCTTTGCCGAGAAGGTGGTGGAGGGCATGTTCATCATCGTCAATTCCATCACCATCAAGATTCACTCGAAGGCCTTCCACGCCTCGTTGGAATTGTGGCAGCTGCAGGGCTATAGTGTGAACCCCAACTGGCAGCAGAGTGACCTGCGCCTGACTCGCATCACCGACCCCCGCAGAGGAGAGGTGACAGCCCAGGCATCGCAGGGGCGGTGGGGAGAGGGGAGCCAAAGGAGGACTGATTCTTAAAGGACATTACTCTTGCTTGGGCGGTTTCTCCTGATGTTCCGTATTCCTGGGAACCCCAGTGCACTTTGTGTCTGGTGATACTGAGACACCTTTCGCTTCGTTACGGGTCTCTGACCACTGGCTGCTCACAGCTAGGATCTCGATCGAGAACTGTGGGAGGCTGGCTTGCCAGTCTGTTTCCTTTGTACTTCCTGCCTCTTGGTTCATTTCACCCATGGCATGAAGGGATTCTCTCCTTCCAGGTGTTAACATTTAAGGAGATAACTTGGCAAACCCTTCGCATCGAGGCGGATGCTACAGACAGCGGTGATCAGGAGCCAGTCACCACGCCGCTGAGGCTCATCACCAACCAAGGCAGGATCCAGATAGCCCTGAAGAGAAGAGTGAGTGTGTTCTCTGCCCTCGGGAAGGTGTTCGTGCCCATCTTTTATTCTTCCACACAGCCCTAGATTCAGTGTCCCTGTGTTGTTCAGAATGTTCCTGTCCCCTCAATTGACATGCAAAGGGGAAGGCTCTGCGGCTCAGTGTTGCACAGTGTCCACAGGAGGGAGGGAACTTTTCCATAGCTCTGTCCTCCATCCACTATGCTTGACATCGTTATGGGCACCTAGCAGTTCATTTAACTGTTGCTGCTTGGTTGTTCATCAAGAGAACTTCAGTAGTTTGGTAAGTAATTGAAAATCCACCTCTGAAACTGATTGGGCAACAGTCAGCTTGAGGCATTGGGATGGTGTAAGATGATAAACCTCATATTTTCTTTGGCTCCTTTAGACCAAAGATTGTAATGTGATAGCCTCCAAGTTGATGTTCCTGTTGGATGACCTGCTCTGGGTGCTAACAGACTCACAGCTCAAGGCCATGATGAAGTACGCTGAGTCACTGAGCGAGGCCATGGAGAAGTCAGCCCAGCAGAGAAAGAGCCTGGCTCCTGAGCCTGTACAGGTTAGAAACCTAACAGACACCCTTGCTGGGGCTGGGGAAGGAGGTGGAGCAGACCTAATTCAGACTTACGTAGGCAGGAGCAATACTTTGGTTTGTTCGGGAGATTTTTCATTTGCTTCTGGATGATTTTAGGCTTTGCCCATACCTCTGATTTTTTTTTTTTCATTCTGTTCATTGGATAATTCCAGTGTTTTAGGAATATGATGTTAGTCCCTAGAGAAGAAAAGTGGACTAAGCTTTTCCTGTCCTTGGGGCTGTCATCACTGTCTGGAAATGTGAACCATCAACAAGCTGTAATATTGTGTGATCACTGCTACAGCATGAGCAAGCATTGTGCCCAAAGAGCTCAAACCAGAGGTGTGTCACTGTGCAGGCTGAATGACGGCACTTAGGAAAGACTTCCCAGAGGAGGTGTTTTGTTATCTGTGAGCTAAATCGTATGGTTGAGAACTTGGAGTGCATTTCATATCTCATTACAGTGCTCCAGCAGTTACGAGGCTAATGAATTAGGTGGGCAGTTAGACTTTGAGTTCCTTGAGTTGGAGTTGGCTCCAGACCTACGTGAACTGCTAGGTCAACAGTTAGAAGCAAGGGCATTTTGCTAAATTGTGATTTTATTCAAACTGGGCTGCAGCGTGAAGAAAGCCTCTGAAGGATCATCTCAGCCACTGGACTTGTTGTTTTTCTCTCTGTCACATGTAGATCACTCCACCTGCTCCCAGTGCCCAGCAGTCCTGGGCCCAGGCATTTGGTGGCAGCCAGGGCAACAGCAACAGCAGCAGCACCCGCCTCAGCCAGTACTTTGAGAAATTTGATGTGAAAGAGTCCTCCTACCACCTGCTCATCTCCCGCCTGGACCTGCACATTTGTGATGATAGCCAGTCCCGAGAGCCAGGTAGCCCATGAGGCCTGAGCCTGGGCTGGGTGGTCCATGTCACTGTCTAGAGCTGGGCAAAACCTGGGACCGAAGGGTTTTTTTTTACTGAGATGCTCCAGAATACTTTGTTTGAGAACTTGGAAAGAAGCAGTCACCAGGCCTCAGCCATCCTGGGGTGGCTCTCTGTGTTAGGTGGGAGGCAGTGCTCTGTCAGCCTACAGGAGTATAGTGGGACACCAGTTGTGCTTGATCAACTGTAGATTCTGGACCCATTTCCCAAACCCGCTAAATTAGAATCTTCAGGGACAGAGTCCAAGCAATGTGAATTCCCCTCCCGCCTTCCAAAGTCCTTTGGACAATGCTTATGAGGGTTTGAGAATCATGGACCTAAGATTTCAGTGAAGTAAAGGCTGGTGCCATGGTGTAACTAGCTAAATCTCTGCCTGCGGTGCTGGCATCCCATATAGGTGTTGGTTCACACCCCACCTGCTCCACTTCTGATCCAGCTCCTCCCTGCGTATGTCCTGGGAAAGCAACAGAGCATGGCCTATGTTTTTGAGCCCCTGTACTCATGTTGGAGACTAGGAAGAGGCTCCTGTCTTTGGCCCAGCCCAGCTTTGACCATTTGGGGAGTGAACTAGCGTGTAGAAGGTCTTTCTCTCTGTCTCTCCTTCTCTATCTGTAACTTGGCCTTTCCAATAAAAACACATAGATATTTAAAGAAAAAAATAGTTTGAGGAAAATAAATTCAGCTGTAGGAAACCTCAGTGTAATCAAGCTTTTGAGTCACTTTAGGTGTTTATTGTGTGCAATTTTTACCAAGTAGAGATGTTTTGCTGTGTTCTTCTCATGCTTAGAGCGATGGTGCTGTGTACACCCACACAAATGTTCAGAATAAAAATAAATGAAATTAACTCATTTCTTTCCTTGATGAGCCTTTGGGAAATCACTTAACCTCTTGCTTTAACCTTTCTGGGTTTCCTCATTTGTGAAGCTGAATTACATCACATCCTGTTTCCTCGCAGATTGTCCTTAGGCTCAAAGGAGATAGCATACTGAGTTTGGAGGGCCTTATTTGTAGGCGAATATTAAGTATTACTCTTACTCTGCTGTCTCTTCCTTCAATGCTGTCCCTTTATACTGCCCCAGGCTGCCAGCTCCTGGGCTTCGATGCTCACACATGGTAGATGATTCTCTGTCCATTTTATTTTCTCTGAAGGCTGTGTTTTCCTTTCTGGGAGAGCTAGCCTCAGTGTCCATGGCGGCCCCACCTGTTCTTCTTCTTCCTGGGGACCACACAAGCATTGCATCTCTGTCCGATGCATGAGTGATGGCCACTCCTCTCCATGCTCATTCTGAGAGGAAAGGAAGAGGAAACAATAGCTCTTTGCTGTTGATACCAAAGGAAATCATTGACCCACCTGCTCATTCTGGAAGCTCATCACTGTTATTTTCTTTGGTTATTTCTTCCAAGGTCTTTGATTTTGTTTGTTTGATGATTGATTTTTAATTCTTTCAAAAGTCTTAATTAACAATACATTATTGGGAGCTTGGCGAGATAGCTCAGCTAGCTAATCCTTCATTTTCAAGTGCCAGAATCCCATATGGGTGCTAGTTTGTGTCCTGGCTGCTCCACTTCTCATCTAGCTCTGTGATTGTGGACTGGGAAAGCAGTAGAGGATGGCACAAAGCCTTGGGGCCCTGCAGTCACATGAGAGACCCAGAGGAAGCTCTAGGTTCCTGGCTTCGGATCAGCTCAGCTCTGGCTATTGTGGTTATTTGGGGAGTGAACCAGTGGATGGAAGATCTTTATCTCTGTTTCTCCCTCTCTATGTACATCTGCCTTTCCAATAAAAATGAATATTTTAAAAATAAAGTGTGTTATTGGGTGTCTCTCCTTTCAGGAGACACCCCGTCTTCAGGATCTTCCTTCTTCTGTTCATATTCACTTGTTCACCTCACAAATAAAACTTACCTTGTGTATGAGGAAAAAAAAGGGTAAGAGGGTGCATTATTAAGAGTTTCAGTCTGTTGTAGAATTTTGGTGTGTGAGTGCTAGCATCATAAAATCTACCCTAAAAGGATAATAACTGTGGTTTTTTCATTTTTTTTTCTTTATTTATTTTGAAAGGCAGAGTGACACAGGGACACAGAGGGAGGGGGAGACAGAGAAATAGGTGTCCCATATGCTGGTTTACTCTCCAAATGGACCGCAGTACCCGGAGCTGGGCCAGCTTGGAGCTGGAGCCAGAACTCCTGCAGGTCCCCCACATGGATGTCAGGGGCCAACATCGCTGCCTTCCAGGTGCATCAGCAAGAAGCTGGATCAGAAGTGGAGTAGCTAGGGCTTGAAGTGGCACTCCAGTATGGCGTGGTAGTATTAATGATTTAACCCATTGTTCCTCAATGCTGACCCCGTTTTTATTTATTTTTCTTTTAAAGAGTTATTTATTTTGAAAAGTTACAGAGAGAGTGGGGAGAGAAGTACTGGGAGGAGAGTCATCTTCTAGCCACTGGTTTTCTGTCTTGATGGTTGCAATGGCCAGGATGGGTCAGGCTGAAGCCAGAAGGTAGGAGCTTCATTTGGGTCACCCACATGGGAGGCAGGGGCCCCAAACACTTGGGCCACTCACTGCTGCTTTTATTAGGCCATTGGCAGGGAACTGGATTGGAAGTGGAGAGCCAGGATATGGACTGGCACCCATGAGGGATGCCACATTGCAGGTGCTGGCTGTCCCTACTATGTCTCAACACCAGCCCCTCTTCATTTCTTTTATGAAGCCAAATCTACTTGGCGGATGAACTATTTGTAGCTATGGGGATGATTCCCAGAAATGGTATATTCCTCACTATAGGATCATTAATGGGGAGAGTTCTTACAGCTTTGACTCCTCTCCTTGCAGGTGGGGAGAGAAGTGAAGGGAAAGCTAGGCAGTACAGGAGGGACTCTAAGATTCTGTGGGATTATTCTGTCCTGTAGAGTAGCCATTAATCGCATGTGAGTGTGTCATAAGGCAACTGGAGACATCTTGCAAGTGTGACAGAAAGTTTGAATTTCAAAGATGTTGAATTTTAAAAAAGTGCTAAATACCGCAATAATTATTTTCATTTTGAATGCCTATTTAGATGGGTATATTGGATATTTGGGTATATTGGCTTATATTTTAAAATAAACTATCTTTTTAATAATTAAAAAATTTACAGAGAGAAGGAGAGACAGAAAATTCTTTCATCTGCTGGTTCATTCCCCAAGTGGCCAAATTAGAACTTGCATCTATATGGGAATCCTGGAGTGTGCAAGGCGAGAACTTTAGCCACTAGGCTACCACGACAGGCCCAACACTGCTTATTAAAATCAGAAGCTCCTTCATCTGTCAGAGTGGAATGGCAATGGATGCTTGATGGGGAGAAGAGTTATCACCTGCCTCTTTCTGTTTTCCTTCAGGATCAAGCATGCGGGCCCCAAATTCCCTTTGTCGCTCTCTCTTAAGCATGGCCTGTCCTGGGCCCACCAACTAACTAAAGAATTTCAGTCACTCATTTATATATCCTGTTTACCATTTATGTCTTGTGTTTGCAATTATATTGGTCATTGTTAACCACATTTGATTTCAATTATAAACTATATTATTTTAAAGATTTGTCTCTTTGAAAGAGTTACAGAAGGACAGAAGAGACACACCTTGGGCAAGAACTTCCATCTGCTGGTTCATTCCTAAAATGTCTGCAATAGCAAGGGCTGAGCCAGGCGAAAGCCAAGAACCAGCAGCTTCATCCATATTCTCACTTGGGTGGGACTCAGACCAGCTGCTTTCTCAGGTGCTTTAGCAGGGAGCTGGATCAGAAATGGAGTAACTGAGAGTGGAACTGGTGGCCAGAAGGATGTTGGCACTGCAGACAACTGCTTAACCAACATGCTACAGTACTGGCCTCTGTTTTATTTTAATGATACATTTATTTGAAACTCAGAGCTACAGAGACAGGGAGAAAAAAATTTTTAAAAGATTTATTTATTTATTTTAAAGACTTTAAAAAAAATTTATTGCCAAGTCAGATATACAGAGAGGAGGACAGAGAGGAAGATTTTTAGTCCAATGATTCATTCCCCAAGTAGCTACAATGGTTGGAGCTGAGCCAATCCAAAGCCAAGAGGCAGGAGCTTATTCCAGGTCTCCCATGTGGGTGCAGTGTCCCAAGACTTTGCGCCGTTCTCTACTGCTTTCGCAGGCCACAAGCAGGGAGCTGGATAGACGCAGGGCTGCTTGGATTAGAACCGGCACTCATATGGGATTCCGGGCATGCTCAAGGCGAGGACTTTAGCTACTAGGCCACCACGCTAGGCCCGATTTATTTATTTTCATTTAAATGATAGAGTTACAGAGAGAGGAAGGGAGAGGCTTCTGATGGTTGATTCATTCCCTAAATGGCCACAATGGCTGGGACGGGGCTGGGCTGGTCCAAAATCGGGAACCAGGAGCTTTTTCCTGGGCTGCCGTATGGATGTAGGACCCCAAGGACTTGAGCCATCTTCTGCTGCTTTCCAAGGCACATTAGTAAGGAGCTGGATTGGAAGTGGAATAGCCGGGACTTGTGGGATGCTGGTGGTGCAGTCATAGGTTTAACATGATAAGCCATAGTGCTGGTCCCGAGACAGCGACTTTTCCACCCACTGGTTCGTTTTGCTGATAACCACAAAGACCAGGGCTGAGCCAGGAGTAAGTCAGGAGCTTCTTCTGGTTCTCACTCATGAGTGCAATGGGCTAAACAGTTGGACCATCTTCTTCTGAGTTTCGTGGGCTGTTAGTAGAGAGCTTGACCAGAAGTGACACAGCCAGGACTTGACGCAAGCCATGGCCCATGTGCGGTGTTGGTGTTAGAGGCTATAGCCCTTCTTGCTAAGCCACAAAGCCAGTCCCTAAGCTGCTTTAATGTGTTCAATCCAGGTATTCTGTTGTTATTTTAGCTCCAAATAGTGTTAGTAGGGAACCCTCTTCCTACCATAGCTCGAGTCATATAGTTCCAACTAAGGTGATACTACCACCAAATGTCAAAAGTGACTTTTATTAACCTTATTCAGATATAATTTACTACCACACAATTTACTTTGTTAGAATGTACAACTCTGGGCCCGGTGATCGTGTAGCAAGCTAAGCTTCTGTCTCTGGCTCTAAGTAGAGGATTTTCAGTTCACTACTCAGTCTTGAAGTCCCACAGACAGAGATGGCCTGCAGGTGCCTGCTAGATGCCATTGGCTGCCTTCCTCGTGTTATTTATGACTGAGTCTGTGATTTGAACTTTGAGAATGAACTTAAAATATTTTATGGTTTATTTAATTCTCATTATTACTCAACTCATTGTTAATCTAGTTAAATGTTGAAATGTTGACAGTAAGTGAATGTACAGTAGCCAGTTTAAGTTATTTTCTTATATAAAAAGTTAAATTTACTAAAAATAAATGTAGGAAATAAAATGCTTAATGTTTTTACTTTGTTAAATAATTTGAATTAAAATTTTGATTATATTGCTATTAGGCATATAAATTACTCATTTGTATATATAATTTGATGTGTTACAATTTTTAAAATTCATTCTATTTTTTATTGGAAAGTTAGATTTACAGAAAGAAGGAGAGACAGAGAGAAAAATCTTGCATCTGCTGGTTCATTCCCCAAGTAGCTGCAGTGGCCAATCTGAAGCCAGGAACCTCTTCACGGTCTCCTTAGCAGGTGCAGGGTCCCAAGGCTTTGGGCCATTCTCTACTGCTTTCCCAGGCCACAAGCAGGGAGCTGGATGGGCAGTGGAGCAACCGGGATTTGATCTGGTGTCCATATGGGATCCTGGCGTGTGGAAGGCAAGTACATTAGCCATTAGGCTACCACACCAGACCCTGGCATCTTACAGTCTAAGTAAAGGGATTATAATAAAAACTATCAACAAATATAAAGTTAAAATATTGATAGCTTTGCATTTTTTAATTAAAAAATGCTTAAATATATCGGATTGCCAAAGAGAGAGAAATGGATATATAGAGAAAAGTGTCCTCCTGTGCTTTGCTTGCCAGAGGCCTGCAGCAGCCAGGAGCTTGGAACCCCATCCAGGCCTGCCCTCTGGGATGCAGACCCAGGTGCTTGCTGCCCACCGGGGTGTGGATTAGCAGAGAGCTGCAGGCTGGCGCCGAGGCCAGACTTGATCATAGGCACCCTCATATGATGTGGGAATCCCAAGCAGCATTTTGGCTGCTCAGTTAGCTGCCTGTCTCTGCTTTAATTTTTCAACTCAAAAAACTAATGTTTCCTAGCCCTGCCTTAAATAGAAGAGTAAAATTTCTGTGTGTTCTTTTTTGTGTATAAAGCACACACATCTATATAGTTCCTCAATAGATACATGGTGTATCTGTGGTATTAAAATTTCACCGAGAATGGGCAATTAGGGAAAAAACAAAGTGTCTGAAAAGGCACTGATGATGGAAGTGAGACTGAGGAACAGAAACATGGGCACAGGTGTGCCCAGAACACGGGGCAGTGAAGCCTAGAATGGATGCAACAAAAATGTCTGTTTGTTGAGGTGTTACAGCTTACACCAGGGAGACGCCCCCAGCATTTCCCTTCGGTCCTTTCCTTGGTGTTGCCCCTCTTGTTTATTGAGCATCTACTACCTGCAAGGCTCTATGCTAGATACAGTAATAGAGGACAAGGCAGAAGTGCAGAAGAGGCTGGGCCAGACAGCGCATGGATGTGAAAGAAAGGGTTCCTGCACAGCTCTGCAGCCTCATTGGAGGGATAGGGCAAACATGGGAAGTTCGTTCATGCGGACACAAATGACACTCCAAGAAAAGCATAGTGTAGTATTTGACTTACTGTTCTGATTCCAGTTCTCTTGCAGTATTCTGTATATTTGAGAATGTCCCTGCTTGCAGTCTTTGCTTTAGCATCCATGCCTGCTTGGAATGCATAGTGATAATTCCCTAATGTCACAGCTTCAGTTCTGAGGCCCAGGTAGAAGTGTGGAGGGTTCTGCATGTTGGCAAGTTGGCTTCTGCTTCTCCTGCCTTGTGTTGAGGGATCGGGGTACTCATTTCATTAGGCCTGGGGGAGCCTGAGTCAGGGTTGTAGAGTGGGTCCATGAGAAGGCTGGACTGGGGACTCCTGAGTCCTGAGTTCAGAAACTTCTGCCTGTCTAGAAACTGTAAAGCTTGGCATGTTTCTTTTCGCAGTAAGTTATGGAGAAAATGGGGGCATACCTTATAAAATTCTTCTAGAACATGTTCATTGGCTATTGCTACTATAAGGAGAAGTGTGTCAGCTGACATCAGAGCCTTTTAGCTGCACTGGGCTTTGGACCTGACCTTCAGAGCTCTTTGAACTGCTTGAATTGGTACTTAGGCTCCTGTGTTTCTTCTGCTGCCATTCACCTGTATTTTTCTCTTATAGGTGTCTCTGCCAACAGACTCATGGGTGGTGCCATGCAGCTTACCTTCCGCAAGATGGCATTTGACTATTACCCCTTCCACCGGGCAGGTTAGGAGAATTCTCAATGGGGTCAGTTCTAATGTGGCCCAAAGTACTGAGGGCAGATTCGCTGGTTCATCTCCACCAAGGGGAAGGTGCCAAAGACAGCTGCACATGCTCAGAGAGGCACCAGAGACCTCCCCTGTCGGGAGGACACATAGGAACTTACAGTGTCTACTCTTGGGGAGTCTCCATGGTGATGAGAGCAGGTGGGAGGGGAGGCAGTGCCCAAGATGCTGCTCTTGCTATTAGCCTCAGCCCCTTATGCCACTGGCTTTACTGCCTCTGCAGTAGTCCATACTCAAAGAGGACAACAGTCGGCAGCCGGCTTTCAGGAACCATAGGGAAGTATCACCACGGGATGCTGAAGAGCTTGGGAGTTCTCATCGTGTAAGTTTTCCTTAACCCAGAAGATTCTGGATTCAGGGGTGAGGGATCAGTTTCTGAACATGCATATAACTGACAAAGTCAGCAATGCCATGACGGGTCATGATCTAAGCTGAATACCATTGTGCTTCTCTGTTGCCCAGGCGATAGCTGCAAACACTGGGTCCGGCACTGTGAGGCCATGGAGACGCGAGACCAGTGGGCCCAGAAATTGGTGATGGAATTTCAGAATAAAATGGAGAAGTGGCATGAGGAAACTGGTGTGAAACCACCCTGGCACCTGGGAGTAGACTCACCCTTCCGGAGGAAAGCAGGTGAGTCAGGAGGGACCCCTGCTGTAGGCCTCTTGCCATTTAACTGAATAACCACTGGGGTCAAGCAATGGGCGAGTTCACTAGAGAAGCAGGGGCAGAGAAATCTTCCACCCACTGATTTATTCCCCAAATGTTTGTACTGGTAGAAATTGGGTCTGTCCAAAGCCAGGAGCCTAGAGTCCTCCTCCACATCTCCCACATAGGTGCAGGAGCCCTGGGATTTGGACCAACCTCTGCTGCCTTCCCAGACACATGAGCAGGAGGTTGAATTGGAAGTGGAGCAGCTGGGTTTTGAACCAGTTTGTATTCATATGGGATGCTGTCACTGCAGGCAGAGGCTTAAGCCAATATGCCACTGTGCTGCGCCCAATTTGTTTGTTTTCCTAGAATCCTGTTTGTTCCCAGAGTTGGCCACATTGTTGAAGAGAAGTTGTCATCATCTCTGTTCACTCAGCTGATGCCTTGCTCTTAAGGGGAATGTAATTTTTGAGCTTCCTCCATGAGCAAGACAGTGATAGCGGTCTATTTTACACTTAATGTTAATGATCTGAGAGTTGAACATACCTGATCCTCATGCCCACCTTTTGTGTCTTGACTTAGATTCTCTGTCCAGTCCTCGGAAGAACCCGCTTGAGAGAAGCCCCTCCCAGGGCCGGCAAGCTCCCTTTGGACCCCCAGCGTGGAATCGCCTGCGCTCCAGCTGCGTAGTAGTCCGAGTCGATGACCTGGACATCCACCAGGTGAGGACATGGCGCAGCCTAGTTGGAAAGGGATAGGACATTCAGCTGGAAGGCCCCTGGGGTGGAATGAGCTGAGCGGAAAAATTTAGGGGCTGCCCACCACCCATGTAGGTTTGTGGATTGATCGTTCTGTTTCTGAGCATGGCTGCTCATGTGGGGGCTTAGACATCTCAGGGCATCTCCTGCTGCTGCTTCCTGCTGAACACGCTGACTTGGCTAATGGTGGGAGGCAGTGGTGGGAATGCTGGGAGCATGGGGATACTTCAAAAAGCTCATAGAGCGATTCAATTAAAAGAGAAGCTTATTGTGGTTGTAAACAGTTTATGAACTCTATGCCAAGAGTTTTCATCATCTGCAGTTAGGAACTTCATAGGACCCTTTGTATGCCTGGATTTTGACATTTTTGGTACCAGAGTAAACTTTCTCTCTTTTTAAAAAAAGATTTATTATTATTATTATGTTAAAGTCAGATATACAGAGAGGAGGAGAGAAGGAGAGAAAGATCTTCTGTCCATTGATTCACTCCCCAAGCAATGGCTGGAACTGAGCTGAAGCCAGGAGTCCGGAGCCTCTTCTGGGTCTTGCACATGGGTGCAGGGTCCCAAGGCTTTGGCCTGTCCTTGACTGCTTTCCCAGGCCATAGCCAGGGAGCTGGATGGGAAATGGAGCTACCAGGATTAGAACCAGTGCCCATATGGGATCCCAGAGCATGCAAGGACAGAACTTTAGCTGTTAGGCTACCGTGCCAGGCCTGTAAACTTTATTTCTAACCTCATTTCTAAATTCCATTGTCTTAAGGACTTGTTGAAGTTCCCCCATACGTGTGAAAATCATTGTGCTCTCTCTGCTCCCTGTATAGCCTCTGGAGGATGCAAGAGGTTGGCATTCCTCAGAGGAGACAGACATCTCTGGATGCTAACCTCAGTTGCGATTGCTTAGGTTTCCACAGCTGGCCAGCCAAGTAAGAAGCCTTCTACACTCCTCTCCTGCAGTCGGAAACTCCACAACCTGCCCACTCAGGTCTCTGCCATCCACATCGAGTTCACCGAGTATTACTTCCCAGATAATCAGGAGCTTCCAGGTGAGCACCTGCTGCTCGCCACCTCTGCCTCCCCCAGGCTCCTGCTGGTTTGTCCACCTGCAGCTGCTGTATATGTCCTCTATCATTGGTAGGAGCTGTAGGTGTTTGAAGTAATTAGCACACCTCCGTAACAAGCTCTGCCTCGTGTTAAGTGTGTAACAACTGCTTTCCCAATGATAAAAAATAAAACGTCAGGTGTTAAGTAAACTTAAGTGGAGCTCTTGCTTTGTCCCTAAGCATCTGTTTTTCTCTCTGCTTCATAGTTCCCTGTCCCAATCTCTATGTTCAATTAAATGGCCTGACGTTTACCGTGGACCCAGTCAGCCTGCTCTGGGGAAACCTCTTCTGTCTGGATTTGTACCACAGCCTGGAACAGTTCAAAGCCATCTACAAGCTGGAAGATTCAAGGCAAAAAGATGAGCACTTGGATATCCGGCTGGACGCCTTCTGGCTGAAGGTAGGCAGAGAGTGGGGCTTTCCTGTCGGGAGCTCCCGTGGCATTTCCCAAGAGGCTGTAATCCACAGTCCCTCTCATGGAAGTCCAGGTCAGCTTTCATGCCTGTATTAACAGTGGGATGCTGAAATAACTCGGATGGCCATGGTTACTTGTTCCATTTCTGTTGCAAGGTAAGCTTCCCGCTGGAGAAGAGAGAACGGGCGGAGCTGCATCGTCCCCAGGCCCTTGTCCTGTCTGCCTCGGGTGTGACTGCCACCAACACACGCCATGCACCGCACTGCAGCTGTCAGGACCTCCAGAGTCTCTTCCGGGCCTTTGCCGCTGCAGAGTTCTTTCATTCCAGTTATGAGCGCTTTCCCAAGGTTCCAGGGGGCTTCAGCCTTCTGCACATGCTCTTCCTGCATCATGCCTTCCAGACAGATGCCCGCCCTCCTCAGCCCAGCACCCTCCCACCCCAGAGACCTAAGGCCTCTCAGGATCTCTGGTCCATCTACTTCACCCAGATTTCCCTGGACTTTGAGGGAACGGAGAACTTCAAAGGCCATGCTTTGAATTTTGTGGCCCCCTTTCCCTTGTCCGTTTGGGCCTGCCTCCCCCTCCGCTGGGAACAAGCCCAGGCACGGAAACTCCTTTCAGCCTCTGAGGGCAGGCTGAAGCCGTCGGCCAGCTTCGGCAGTCCTGGCCAGTCCGAAGCCCTGGCTGCTGACGCTGTGCCCCAACAGAGGTCAAAGACCGAGCATGATTTGAAGAGCCTGTCGGGACTTCCGGAGAGTTGGAAAGAAGGCAGCGGGGGTGTGGACGGCCAGAAGCCCCCCGCGGAGCTCGAGGATGCAGCAGATGTGCACGTGCTCGTGAACTCCCCCGTTCACGTCCGCGTGAGGCTCGACCACTACCAGTACTTGGCACTGCTTCGCCTCAAGGAGGTGCTGCAGGAGCTCCAGGAGCAGCTGGCGAAAGACAAGGAGGCCATGACCGGGTCTCCGCTGCAGAACCAGACCGCTTGCATTGGAGTCCTCTTCCCCAGCGCTGAGGTGGCTCTGCTCATGCAGCCTGCTCCAGGCAGTGTGCATGATACCGACTCTGCGGGTTCAGACACCACCAGCCTCATAGACTCAGAGCTGTCCCCTTCGGAGGAACAGGAACCGAAGTCTGATGCCTCCTCAGACCGGGGCCCAGCAAGCCCTGAGAAGGTTCTGGAGGATGGTAACATTGGCAGTCAGGAGACATCCCAGGAGAGGTCACGTGGCCATGGGGAACTGCAGGACTCAGGTCCCCTGGCACAGCAGATTGTAGGGAAGGGCTCTGAGGCTGTTGAGTCGCTACAGGCAAAGACACCAAGCAGAGCCCAGACCTCTAGCTCACTAGCTATGCAGAAACCCCCAGCTGTCAGGGATCCAGCTATGAACGGACAAGGTGAACTCGTCCCCTTGAAGAATATTGAGGGGGAATTGTCCAGCGCCATTCATATGACCAAGGATGCCACCAAGGAGGCTCTGCATGCCACAATGGACCTCACTAAGGAAGCTGTGTCCCTCACCAAGGATGCCTTCAGTCTGGGAAGAGATCGCATGACCTCCACCATGCACAAGATGCTGTCCCTGCCGCCAGCCAAGTGAGTGTCTGTCTGCCTCTGGCAGCTGTTTCATGGCCTCCTGGTTCTGACCGCCCGAGTGCATTTTTAGATTGCCAAGTGCCATAGAGTCCAGGACAATGCATAGAATACTCTATGTAAATGGGTAGTTTTCTTTTTCTTCTTTATTTCTTTTAAAAATATTTATTCTTTTTATTGGAAAGGCAGATTTTTGGAGAGGAGGAGTGACAGAGAGGAGATATGTTTCATCCACTGGTTCACTCCCCAAATGGCTGTATTGGTCAGAGCTGAGTCGATCTGAAGCTAGGAGCCAGGAGCTTCTTTTGGGTCTGTTATGTGGCTGCAGGGTCCCTGGGCTTTGGGCCATCCTCTACCGCTTTCCCAGGCCATCAGCAGGGAGCTGGATGGGAAGTGGAGCAGTGGGGACTTGAACTGGTGCCCATATGGGATCCCACTTGTAGGTGGAGGATTAGTCAGTTGAACCATTGTGCCAGCCCTAAAAGGGCAATTTTCAAGCAACATTAATTTCTTCTTAGAATCAGATGATGCTGACTTACTATTACTGATAAAGATGGGCTATGGAGACTAGTAGCACTTGTTGTCTGTCTTCCCAGTGGGCTGTTTTGCCGTTTCTTGTGTGTTTGGATCTGCACGGCAGCTTCTTCGTAGGGTGGCTGTAGACATTTCTGTCCTGAGCTATGGCTGAGGGAACAGGCCCTCAGGGAGCTAAGTGCATGCGTTGTCCTGACTCTGCGTCTTGTAAGCAGAGCAGCTGGGGCCTTAGCTGTTCTGCTGAGCCTTACCAGTGACTGCCAGGGCTTTGATAGTTATTATTATTATTATTTCTGCTGAGTCCTTAGTGAGAGCCAAGCTCTGTGTTACATGCTGGAGAGACAGTAGTGGGTAAGCAGAAAACCACTGAAAAGGACAGTGTAGAGAGTGGAGAGTATGGATTTTTCCCCCCCATGGGTGCCTGTAGCTTTAGGCAAGATAATAAAAACTTAGGGAATCTTTGCGGAAACACGTTGTGGTTTCCTGTCTGGGGTGTGAAAAACAGTGATTTTAGAGCTGTTGTCTAGATGAAACGTCTCCAGTGGGTCCCTCAGCAGCGCCTGTGGGTGTGCCACTACCGCCGTGACAGCCAACTAAATGGCAAGAGGAGAGAAAAAGGTAAAGGAGTGAATGTTACATTCGTGCTGGCTGCTGTCTGTGTCAGGCGCTGTCCTACCCCTTGCATCCTTCCAGCAGCCGCCTGAGGTGGCTCCCAGTGTTGCACCCCACCGCTCCTGTTTTACACAGGAAGCAGGGGCTCAGAACACCAGCGGTTGGCTCATGATCCTGCAGCTGGGCAGTTGTGGTCCAGAGGCTGACCGCTTGCCTGGGCACCTGCTCAGCAGGGTGCTGCTGCCTGTCACAAAAGGAGAGAGGCAGGGAGCTGGGCAGAGGAGAGGTGACAAGGACACAGAGGTGTGGGCTGCCCACTCGTTGAAGACAGCAGTAAGGCTCTCCAGACTGCCCACGCTGCTGGCTTGTCGCAGTCCCCCATCTCCCGGTCAGCTTTGTGGTGATGAGATGCCGGCCGCCCACTTCCCTTGAGCGTCTGTGGCTAATCCCTTCCAGTCACTCTCACTTCTCTCAAGGCGTCTTCTCTTTGTCCTGGGCTGTTCTCCTCTTCCTTCGATCCTATAAATGGAAATGCTCCATAATGCTGCGCCATGCATATTCTGATCACTTTTGTCATACTGCTGTTTCTTCTTAATTGATAGGGCTGAGTTGCATCCATTGTGCTGTCAGTGTAGGAAGTGGAAGAATAGAGAGGATCACTAACAGAAAAAGCTGCTAGTTAAGTTCAGGTCTATTGTCTTCCAGTTTTTATATACCTGTATGACATTTGTGTGTTTGTGTGAATGTTTGCATGTGTTTATGCATTTAATATACAGAATTTTTTTGCAACAGAAAATTATTTCTACAGTATTACATCTTGCTTTATTCACTTAGTGTTTTATTGTGAATATTTCCCTCTCCATTTATTGTATTCTTACAGATGCTTGTGTTTATAATTCATTCACCCATTCCACTATTTGTGAATCATTTAGTCTTTTTCCAGTTTTTCTTAGGTAGAACCAGTGCTTTGTTAAATGTTCTTGTTTATGTGATCAGCATTTTTTCATATGATACATATATAAACATGTGTTTTACATATGAATAAAAACTTAGAAGTGAAATTTTGGTTCAATGGCAGCAAACATCTTTAAAGTTTTGCTGAATTTATCAGCTTTTGTACCAGTCTGTGCCTTTGAATACTTTCTCCCTAGATTGTTTTATCCCTGTCTTCACGTCAGTCTGTATTTTCAGTTCTAACCTTGTTCTGTTACCATGTTCTTTATTTAAAGCTACCTATTGGACATGGCTCCACATAGATTTCCTAAGGTGCCTCAGCCTCACAAAGAGAAAATTAAATTCCTGGAGTGAGAGCCCAGTGATGAAGGTGCCATCCGGCGTCAGAATCTCTGGTCTTGGTGCTGGATCCGGCTCCTGCCTGCCATGTGTAGGGTCTGCTCATGCAGACCCTACACGAGGCAGGTCAATGAATCAGCCAATCGATCAACTAGCCAATCAATCTTTGGTCAAAACAAAACAAAGCTAAATTCCTTATGCCTTCTTTTTGGTTGTAACATTCACCTGTTCATCCAAGTGCTACATTTTAGCTGTCTGCCTCCAGCTCATTTGTTGTGTGCTAACTGAATTCCTCCATCGATGGCTCTCAACTTCGAATGTGCGTGGGAATCCCTAGAAGATGTGGAGAGCGAGTACAGCACTCGCCCGCAGTTCCGTATTCAGTAATCACGCATATTTGTGAGAATCTGCTTTTCTTTTCTTTTTTTTTTAAAGATTTATTTTTTTATTTTTATTGGAAAGGCAGATATACAGAGAGGAGAGACAGAGAGGAGAATCTTCCGTCCGATGATTCACTGCCCAAGTGAGCACAACGGCCGATGCTATGCCGATCTGAAGCCAGGAGCCTCTTCCGGGTCTCCCACGCGGGTGCAGGGTCCCAAAGCTTTGGGCCGTCCTTCACTGCTTTCCCAGGCCACAAGCAGGGAGCTGGATGGGAAGCGGGGCTGCCAGGATTAGAACTGGCGCCCATATGGGATCCCAGGTGTGCAAGGCGAGGACCTTAACCACTGTGCCACCGCGCCGGGCCCGAGAATCTGCTTTTCTAACAAACTGTTGATGGTTCTGCTGCTGCCAGGACCACATTTCAAGGCCACTGCCTTGGGGAATCTCACATCAGTGTTTCCTATCTGTTTCCACAGGTGTACTGTTTTAGTGAATTACTGATTGATGCTGGAGATCTTTCCCTCTCTAGCTTGTCTGAAAAAGCTGAGGCTGATTTCCTAAAACACAGGAGTGATCTTGTCAGTTCCCAACTCCAGAACCTTTAGTCTGCTTCCTGCTCCCTCTGGAGTTCAGGGTTAAACTTCTTGGTGAGGCATAATCAGTTGTAGTATAACCATATGGCATTTTGTAGTTTTCAAAACATTGCTTAAATAATCTCATTTAAACTATCAATTATTTATTGGAAATTCAGAATTACAGAGAGAAAAGGAGAGACAGAGACTTTCCATCTTCTGATTTACTCCCCACGTGGCAGCAAGCGGCTGGGGCCGGGCCAGACTGAAGCCTAGAGCTGCTCCTAGGTTCCCCATGTGGATGCGGGGGCCCAAGCACTTGGACCTGTCTTGTGCTGCTTTCCCCAGGCACATCAACAGGGAGCTGAATCACAGCTGAAGCAGCTGGATCAGAAACTGGTGCACAAAAGGGATGCCGGGGTCACAGGCAGCCTCTCGGCTCTGTCATACCACAATGCTGGTCCCGGTAGGAAATGTTTTATGCAAGGTTTTCTGTAATCCGGCTGCGGCCCATGTGGTAAAGTGAATAAATGCTTAATGGGAAGTTAGGAAACTTGGTAATTGCCTGGTAGTTGTACCTGTAGGTATGAGCTTGGATTGGGTTAGAAAGATAGCCAAGGCATCCTCTTGCTGTGCTAGGCCTTTCTAACTGTATCTTCTGATGGTCTTAACTGTGCTGCAGCATGGCCAGGTCCTTCCTCGTCTCTGAGGGTGCCTTTTGGTTCTGGCTCTGTGTGTGTTTCCTGTAGAATGCCTCCCCCCGCCCCGCCTCCCCCATCTCGTTCCTTCAAGTGTGGTGTGCTTTCACACAGCCTTCCCCTTCTCATTAGCCTCTGAATTGTGTGGCTGACTCCCATGTAAAGTGATGCATTTACAACTCCCCTCTCTCCTAATAGAGTTGAATTGTTTGAGACAGAGTACACCTGTCTCAGTGTACCCACCCCCACCCCTCCCTCATGCCTGGTAGGGAGCCTTGCCATACAGAAGCTATTCAGTAAATATGAAGGGCTTCAGAAAGTTCATGGAAAATGTAATTAAAAAGATTCTGTGTTTCCCAGGAACTTTTTGAAGCCCTCTTGTACTTACAGAATGCATACAAGTGGTTTCAGATGCCATTCAGCCATTTGCCAGCACCAGGATCTCTTCTGTATGTAGAATGATGCTGAATAAGCATGGTATTTAATGGTAACCATTTATGCCCAAGTAAGAGGGTCCAGAAAAGCTAACAGTTGAAAAATGACTTCATCCCTTTTATCGCAGGAGCTGGAGGACAAGTGTAAACCGTGTGAGCCAAGGAGGAAGGGGGTGGGAGCGCACAGGCGCATCTAAAGGCCCATCTGTGCTCCTTGTTTTCTTCGCAGCAGGGAGCCGACGGTCAGGACTGAGGAGGGACTGGCAGCCCCAGTGAGTGGAGGCGCTGCCCGCCTGCGACTTTTCTCCATGAAGAGGACAGTATCTCAACAGTCATTCGATGGCATCTCCTTGGATAGCAGTGGCCCCGAAGACCGGATTTCAGTGGACAGCGATGGCAGTGACAGCTTTGTGATGCTCCTGGAGGCTGGTATGTGGCAACAGAGCCCGAGGGGGCTGCAGGGGCCAGGGTCAGTTCTCACCCACTCCACATGTTCAGGAGGAGCCAAGACTGCCTACTGCAGACATTCTCGCAGTCAAAACAAGCCAGGATGTTCTAGTGGATTTGTTGAGATTGCCTTTATTTCTGTATCCTAGATTATTGCTTATCTGTGATCTGTGTCACAGAAATATTTAAATCAGATTTTAGCTGCAGCAATATCATTAGTTTGTGGTTGGTTTCAGTTTTGAGTAGTATAGTCGAATTTTTGTTTTCACTTTTTATTGGACAATAAATATGAGCTTCTTGTCTGTTGACAGGAACAAGTAACTTTTAAAAATTAAATCAATTCAACTGTGAAGTTACATTGTTGTGTAAGCTTATTGAAATAGAAACTTAAAGGATCCCTTAATATGATCTAAAGAGTGAATGTGTGTTTTTAATTGGATATTGACAAATTATGATGGTATATACTGTGGGATACCAAGTGCTCCCATATGTATACAGTCTGTAATTTTTGATTCAAGCAAGTGTATTCATCACTTCCAAACACTTACCATTTCTTCTTCATGTCTGGTTGGAGCATTGTGACCTCTGACCTACATCTCCCCATCTCTCCCAGTCCCCAAACCCTGGTGACCACCAGTCTGCTCTCTGCTTCTGTATGCTCAGTTGCTTTAGGCTGGGGTTGAAGACGGACAGGTAGATTTTGTCTTTCTGTGTCTGATTTATGTTGTTTAGTATAATGTCCTCCAAACTTACCCATGTTGGGGAAAATGATAGGCTTTCCTTCTTTTTTTGCAAAATTGTATTGTATATTTTCTTTTTCAAAATTATATTGATTTAAAACTTCTGTTTTTTTTATTTGAAATAGTGAGTTGGGGAATAGAGAGAGAAAGAGAGTTAAAGAGAGAGAGAAAAGTGAGGAAGCGAGAGAGAGAGGGAAGGGGGAAGTTCTCTGGTTTAGTTCAAATGCTGAGGTTGGGCCAGAGCAAGGCTGGGAGCCAGCGGGTCCACATGGAGGGGAGAGGGCAGGGGCTTCAGTGCTTGAGCCATCATTGCTGCCTGCCAGGGTACTCATGAGCAGGAAGCTGGAACTGGCAAGCAGGGGCTCAAGCCTAAGTTTTCTGTTGTGGGATTCAGGCACTGCAAATGGAGTTAAAAAAAAAAGTTATTTATCAGGCAGAGTTAAAAGAGACAGAGAAATCTTCTCTCTACTGGTTCTGTTGGTTCCCCCCCAAATGGTCAAAACGACCAGAGCTAGGCCAGCATGAAGCTAGGAACTTTACTGGCATCTCCCCTGGTGGGTTCAGGGGTCCAAGTATTTGGGCCATCTCAGACTGCTTTGCCAGGCCTTAAACAGGGAGGTGGATCGGAAGTGAAGCAGCTGGACTCCAGCCTGTCCCCATATGGGATGATGGTACCTCTTTGTAGGCTTTCCCTGCCATGCCATGGCACCAGTACCTCCAAGTAGCATCTTAACCATGATACCAAAAGTGTGTCTGTACCACATTTCTTTTTTTTTGAAGATTTATTTTCTTTTTATTAGAAAGTCAGATATAGGGAGAGGAGAAGAGACAGAGAGAAAGATCTTCTGTCTATTGATTCACTCCCCAAGCCAACGACTGGAGCTGAGCCGATCTGAAGCCAGGAGCCTAAAGCCTCTTCCAGGTCTCCCATGCGGGTGCAGGGTCCCAAGGCTTTGTGCTGTGCTTAGCTGCTTTACCAGGTCACAAGCAGGAAATGGAATGGAAAGCAGGGAGCTGAGTAGGAAGTGGAGCTGCTGAGATTAGAACTGGCACCCATATGGGATCCCGGGTATGCAAGATGAGGACTTTAGCCATAAGGCTACCATGCCGGGCCCCCTACCACATTTCTTTCACCATTTGTTGGTTGATGGGTGCCTGCATTTATTTCAGAACTCGGCTATGTGGATAATGCTGTAATAAACATAGGAGTACAGATGCCTCTAGATACACTGATTTCTAATCCTTTGGATATATAGTCAGAAGTGGGATTATTGAATCATACAGTGATTCTAATTTTAGTTTTTTTGAGGTACCTCTGTGCTGTTTGCAACAATAATTCTACTAAATTTACATTCCTGCTTTGGCTCAATTGGCTAATCCTCTGCCTTCAAGTGCCAGCATCCCATATGGGTGCTGATGAGTGTTCCGGCTGCTCCACTTCCCCTCCAGCTCCCTGCTTATGGTGTGGAAAGCAGTAGAGGATGATCTAAAGCCATGGGACCATGCACTCACATGGGAGACCTAGAAGCTCCTGACTCCTGGCTTCAGATTGGCTTAGCTCCGGCTGTTGGGGTCATTTGTGGGTGAAGTTTAGCAGATGGAAGATCTCTGTCTCTCTCTTCTCTGTGTAATCTGCCTTTCAAATAAAAAGAAATACTTTTTTAAAAATAAAAAGCTTATATTCTCTCAGCATTGCATAGGGTTTACTTTTCTCTATGTCCTTTATTGTTATTCTTCATCTTTTTGATAATAGCCATGTTGATAGGTGTGATATATTGTGGTTTTAATTTAAGAGAATGGGTGGCATGTAGCCATGAGGCATGTATAATATTGTTATTTTTTGCTTCTTTTTAAAAAGATTGATTTATTCTTTTTTTTTTTAAAGATTTATTTATTTATTGGAAAGTCAGATATACAGAGAGGAAGAGAGACAGACAGGAAGATCTTCCGTCCAATGATTCACTCCCCAAGTGAGCGCAACGGCCGATGTTATGTTGGTCCAAAGCCTGGAGCCAGGAACTTCTTCCGGGTATCCCACAGGGGTACAGGGTCCCAAGGCTTTGGGCCGTCCTTGACTGCTTTCCCAGGCCACAAGCAGGGAGCTGGATGGGAAGTGGAGCTGCCAGGATTAGAACCGGCGCCCATATAGGATCCTAGCATGTTCAAGGTTAGGATTTTAGCCTCTAGGCCATGCCGCTGGGCCCAAGATTGATTTATTCTTATTGGAAAGGCAGATATACAGAGAGGAGGAGAGACAGAGATAAAGATCTTCATGTGCTGGTTCATTCCTCAAGTGGCTGCAATGGCCGGAGCTGAGCTGATCCAAAGCCAGGAGCCAGAAGCCTCTTCTGGGTCTCCCACATGGGTGCAGGGTCCCAAGGCTTTGGGCCGTCCTCAATTGCTTTCCCAGGCCACAAGCAGGGAGCTGGATGGAAAGTGGAACAGTTTGAATTAGAACTGCGCCTATGTGGGATCCTGGCGCTTGCAAAGAGAGGACTTTAGCCGCTAGGTTACCATACCAGGATATATATGTGTGTGTATATGTGTGTATGTGTGTGTGTGTATCTATATATACACATATACTTCTTAAGGAAATGTTCAGATATATATTGCAGTGGGCAGAATCGAGTAGTGGCTCCTCTACACCTGTTACCCAGCTGCAGCATGGAGAACTCACCTTGTTTTATATACCCTGCCGCCTTCTCGTAATACCTTAAACTGAATCCCAAGCATACCCATTTGTTCATAAGTATTTTCAGTTGTATGTTGCTGGAAAATAGACTGAAAACTTGAAAAAAAAATGTGGGGTACCTAGGAAGCTTACCATCTTTGCCATTTTTAAGTATGTGGTTGAGAGGGGTGAGGGACACCATTGCTGTGCAGCCACTACACGCGCCTTCTGCAGGACTCATTCCGTGTTATAAAACCACAGCTCTGCCCACTAAACACTCACTCTCCATTCCTTCTTTCCTCTGGCCCCTGGCAGCCACCCTCTCACTTTCTGTCTGCAGATTTCATTGTCAGGTTCCTCATTTAAATGGAGTCACACAGTATGCTTTTCCACTTATGACAGATTTTATTCCACTTGGTATAATTTTCTCAGGCAAATGTCAGCATTTTCTTTCTGAGGCTGAAGAAAGTTCCATAGTGTGTGTGTGTGTGTGTGTGTGTGTGTGTGTGTGTGTGTGTGTGTGTGTGTGATATTTTGTGTACCCATTTGACATTCATTTGACTTCCACTGGAACCAATGGGTGTTGCAGTCCAGCCTGGTGCTGCCCTCCTCACCTAAACCAGTGGGAGCTGCAGCCTAGTTGGAGTGACCCGCAGTAACCCCCACCAGGCCCGCCCCCTACCCTGGTTTGCCAGTATGTGTAGCAGTAATTCAGTCTGTCCCACACCCCATTCCACCCCAGCCCCTGTCCTGGTTTTCGTGCCCTCCCTTGGAAGTGGTAACTCAAGAGGGAGGAGTCCACTATTTCCCTCCCAGGTCTCTCCCACTCCTGGATTGTGTACTTTCCAGGTAGTTCTGTGGTTTGACTTGACAGAACTAGCCCCCCAGTGCCAGCTTCTGCCAGCTGATGCTGTGGCTAAGCCCAAACAACCCTCACCCACTCTAATTTTGTTTGTACCAGTAGGAATAATCAGCCCATCCTGGCTTTTCCCTGGTCTAGTCCACATGAGGTGCACAGGTGTTGTAGCCCTGCTTAGTCTGGTTTGCCCCCATCCCAGCCCATGCTCTCCTGTGGGAGTAGCTGTCCAGCAAAGGAACCCCTCTTATTCCCCTGCTGGCTCTGTCCCCTCCCTTCCTTGTTCTCACGTGTGCTGGTTGGGCGCTGTGGTCACATCCGGTACAGGTAACCTCACCTTGCCACGGGCAAAATTTAAAAGCAGTTTTTAAGACATAATAACTCATTGATGTCATCAAATATATAGTCTTCAAATTTCTCTTTGTCTCATAAATATTTTATGTTAATTGTAATTATTTTTGAACTGACATTTCTGACTCACAAACTGTTTCATCATCTTTCTTATACAGAGTCTGGTCGAGAATCTGTCCCACCAGGGCCACTTCCCAATGTTTCGAATGATGCTGGTGTTCAGGTCAGCCGCCCTGTCGTAGAGAATTCTGGCCAAGGCTCATCGGAAGCCAACACGTCTGCCTCACCCAGTAGAGAAGACCTCATCCTTCAGCCGGTCAGCTGCTGTACCTTACTCCCTGCATGCAGAGGGCTAGGCTGGGCTGGACACCCGAGACACAGAGCTAAGATGGTTTCCTTTGACAGGTCTCGGTCCTGGTCCTGAAGGTGCATGAGGTGACTCTGGGGCTTGAGGTACGCGGTGAGGACCTGACTATAGCCCTGCAAGCAGAAGAACTGGCCCTCCAGCAGCTGGGCACCGTGGGACTCTGGCAGTTCCTGCATGGGCAGTCCCCAGGTGAGGCTAGCAGTTGTGCCAGGAGGGCTGAGGGGATTCAACTAGGGCAACGGTCGGTAACTGACACCTACCACTGTCTGTGCTCAAAGGGACAGCTGTTCTAGTGCATGTCCTTGGTCTTTGTCACTCACAGCCATCAGAGGAAGGGAAAGCTCCAGCGATGCTTCTATATTGCAAGGAGCCTCTGTGAGCTCTTTCCTGGGCTCGGCTGTCCCTCGGCTGTCCCTAGGCTGTCCCTCCCCAGTACTCCTGGAGCTTCTGTGGGGACAGTGTGCACCTCTTCACATTTGTAATTGGCAGTTTGAAACTGTATCTGGTATGGAATCAGTTCCATCCTATCATGTTAAGGATTCATTTCCACTGTATATATAACCAAAAACAAACAAACAAACGAAACAAACCTGGGCTCATGTTAACATGCTTCATTAAAAGTCAATTTCAAAAGTACTGAGTAGATATTAAAGCATCAGATGATAACGCCATGACTGCCTGCATCTAGCAGTGACTGTGGTAAGTGTGCCGTGCCCTTCCTGACCTTCCAAGTCCCTGAATGTGCTCTCCGGGGCCGCTCCCTGTTGCTCACCTGGCCTGTTAGGTCACCGTCCTCAGTTCTGTTTTTATTATATCCTTTTCCTTTACTTTATAATTTTTTCCATGTGTGTTTCTCCGAATGTATTAAGTAGCTTACAGGTTTTTAGTTTTTCTAATAAGAACTATAGCCTGTAGTTTTTTTGTGATTGGTTTCTTTCATGAGATACAATATTCTTGAAATTCTCACAAGGTATTAATTTACTCATTCACTCTTATTACCACATCACAATCTATTATATAAATATGGTACTTTTGCATTTTTATTTAAAAAAATTTTTTTGAAGATTTATTTAGTTTTATTACAAAGTCAGATATACAGACAGGAGGAGAGACAGAGAGGAAGATCTTCCGTCCGATGATTCACTCCCCAAGTGAGCGCAACAGCCAGTGCTGCGCCAATCCAAAGCCGGGAACCAGGAACCGGGTCTCGCACACGGGTGCAGACTCCCAAGGCTTTGGGCCGTCCTCAACTGCTTTCCCAGGCCACAAGCAGGGAGCTGGATGGAAAGTGGAGCTGCCGGGATTAGAACCGGCGCTCTTATGGGATCCCGGGGTGTTCAAGGCGAGAACTTTAGCCATTAGGCCACGGTGCCGGCCCCACTTTTTGCCTTTTTAATTGAAATAAAATTTTCATAGTGTAAACTTTACTCATTTTAAGTGTACACGTTGATGCATTTTATTGAATTTACTGAGTTGTGACGCAAGCTTCAGGTCCTCTCCAGCATCTTCCAAACAGCTCTTGTACTCTGTACTCTTACCTACTTCTCCAGACCCCTGGGATGTTTCTAGGTGTTTCCTGATTTCAGAGAAGTTGCTGGAAGTAGCCTTCTGCATGTCTCCTGACATGCAACATTGTAGAGCTTCTCTGGGATATTTCTGAGGTTATAATTTCTAGATCATTTCTCTAGGAACAGCTTTCACTTTACTAAGAAAAGTAAGGCCAGATTTTTTCCCAAAATGATGGTACCAATTTTTGCATTTCCCGAAATACATGAGTTGTTCCATATCCTTGGCTAAGCCTGAGGTTGTTCTTTATGGAATTTTGGAGAAATCAGCATAGATCCTACTTGCTTGGTTCTAGCAAGCAAGAGATGAGGAACCTAAGACTTTTGTACCAAAAGAAAGAGACATAGAAATTAATAGAATCTTTCCTTGGCCACGAGCCCAGTCAGACTCACAGCAAGGGCTGCTCATTGGCCCTTAACCTGTGTTCTCCCAGAAAAAGCATTATACCAAAGTAGATAAGCCACGGACTTTGTGGTCAGCCTGCCCAGCTTTAAGTCCTGTAACTTTGGCCAGCTTATTCTCTGTAACCTAGTTAGTTCATCTGTGAGATGGTGGTCATGAGCATTCTTTAGGCATAAGGTTGCTGTGAGCATTACATGAAAAGCGCTCATGTCAGTTACTAGCTGTTAATTCATGAACCTTCTTATGTTCCTTTTCCTAGGCCCAGGCGTCCAGGAGGCCACCCCAAAGTCTGATCACCTTGGACCAGCCGTGGGCCTCCGCTTCGAGGTGGGGCCTGGTGCAGCCGTTCATTCCCCTCTGGCCATGCAAAATGGCTTCCTGCATTTCTTGCTTCGAGGCTGTGACCTTGAGCTGCTCACTTCAGTGCTGAATGGTCTGGGACCCTTCTTGGAGGATGAGGAGATCCCAGTGGTGGTGCCCATGCAGATTGAGTTCCTGAACTCCAGCATCACCCTAAAGGTGAGAGGATCCTGTGGGTTTAGCCCTGGACCTTGTACAGCAGGGAATTGTAGCAGCAACAGCTGTTTACCTTTTCCCTTGTGGTAAGAGGGTCAGGTAAGGACATGCATGTTAGCATTTCTGTGTTCTGTTAGTGTGGAAATAAATGTGTATGGCTCTCAAGGCAGTCTGAGCGCGGGTGAGAGACCTTGTCTCTAAATGCAGCCTTGTCCTTGGCACCCCTCATCGCTGCAGGCAAGCCCTCAGCCTATCCTAGCTTCAGTTTTACCAGCCGTGGTTAAGGGAGAGACTGTTGGTCACAACAAAAGCACAAAACTGCTCTGAGCCGAATGGTAGCAGGCACAGTCGCATTGCTGTCTAGAGGTGTCATGTGCTTTCCCACTCTCCCCTAGGATGATATTCCGCCCATCTACCCAACGTCGCCAGGCCCGCTCCCCATCACTGTGGCCCTGGAGCATGTTGTGCTGAAGCGGGGTGATGATGGTGTGTTCCACTTGGGCGGTGAGTTGTGCTTCCCAGCCTCCTGGCCCCTGCCTTTTGTCTCCTGTAAGTGAACAGACAACAGCTGGCAAGTGGCCGGTGGTGGCAACACTTTGTCACTTGAAATTTTCACTTTTTTTCCAGCCACTGCTCAGGACAGACTGCCAACAGAAGTACCTAAAAGTGAGAAGCAGCAACCCCGCAAAGAACAGGTGTTTATGATATCCACAGGAGAGGTCTTTGGACAGCAGGTGAGGCCCTAACTGAACGGCACCTTCCCATAAACCCTTAGGGACTATAATTCTGGAAGCAGGAGAACCCTGAGGGCTGAAAAGGTGGCTTGTGCCATGTATATGGCAGTCTTGGCTCCTGTTACCTAGTAGCAGTTTCTAGGAGTACTAACCAATAAGTGAGGAGCTAGAAGCAAAAGTTTGTTTGATCGTAGAGTTCTATTGATGTTCGTGTAAGAGGAGAATGCCAGAGTGGGAAGTACCTCTTAGATCTGGATGAGTTCTCCTGATCATTGGCTTAACTTATAGATTATTCTGCTTGAATTATTCCTTTATTACCCTTACTGGTTGTTGTTGCAAGGTGGTATTACCATGTACATTAACTGTGAATGACTTATTTTTTCTCAGGTGAAAGAACTGCCCACCCTACAAAAGGAACTTATAGAAACCAGACAAGCACTGGCCAATGCCAACCAAGAAAAAGAAAGACTTCTTCAGGAGATTAGGAAATATAACCCCCTCTTTGAGCTCTGATGGCAGTGGCTCAGCCATCTGCGCCAGAGAGAGAAATCACCAGCAATAGCACCACCTAGGACAGAAGGCCCCACCTGGTGTCAAGTCCATCTGCCATGGATGTCAGAGCAAGTGAGGGTGGGTGTTCAGCCACTCCTCAGGGTGTGCTTCTCACCTATTGTTGTATCTTGGATGAAGGACAGGGCGAAGGACGGCCATATCCCAGGATGCATGGGTGGCTGACACACCATGCCTTGTCTGTATAAAGCCTTTTGGCCTTCTGCTTACTAGGTGGAATCTTCTTGACACTGTAGGGCCATTTCACATCCTAATTTCATGTCAGAAACATTTGCTACCTTTGCAGCCTGTGTGAACAAGTGGAAAGTACCCACCTCCCCAGTTGCCCACAGAGCCACCAAAGAGTCCACGTCCCAGAGCTTCCTGTGGCAGGCCTGAGAAGTCCTTGACTTAAGCTTTGAACCTTGCAGTAGAGAGGAACAGGAAGTAGTCTCCCAAGGGGGGCCAGGGAGCAGGAAGGGCATACAACTAAAGGAGTCCAGGGCTCTGCCTTTTTTTGGACAGGGAACCAAAGCCTGCCATCTTGGTGGAGGGTCAGGCTTCCTGTTACACTTTCATCATCATGGTGCTGAGGTGGAAAGCAAACAGCAGTAGCTCAGTCCTCTCTGTTAAACAGTTTTAATCAAGGAAATGTTTTCCCAGGCTGGGCTGGGCTGTGGTAGAGGTCAACAGGGAAGAAACTTGAATCTACACTCCCTCCACTTGCCTACCTAGAGACCCATCCCTCTCCCACAACTGCACCTGAGGGCTTGCTATTGTTCTTTCTGGGTCCCTGGCACATCTGTGTTCTCAGCACTGGGGTTTGCCAACAGTGCTCTCCTTAGCACCTGGTGGTTTGGAAGCTAAAAATGTGTTTTATGTATACACATGGTAACCTGTTGCTTCTTATCCCCCTCTCATTTAAAAATCATGTGATTTTGACTTATATACACCCGTAAGTAAAACCCTTAACCTTTCTGGGTTTTGTCCCATCCCCAGAAAAGTTATTTCCTCTCTTTTTCCTGTCTCTCAGTTTCACCCATGCTGCTCTGTGATACACTCCAAGTTGCACTGATTGGACAGAAAGTTAATCAGCTAATACCTTGACTAGTTAAGATGATAACAGTGATTTAAGTAAAGTCAGTAAAGTCTTAAACATACATGACCTGGAGGAAATATAAAGTGATTTCTTTCACAGGTTATCATGCTTTGCTTGTATATTCTAGTTCTTTGAGGGTAAAAAAGAAGCAAATATCATGGAGAGCTAATATGTTCAGAGCTAATATGAAGAGATAATATGTTCAGACTGTGAAAGAACTTTTGTCAAGTGTTTTCACTAAGGCAAGTTTTAACACTGTTATGGGATTGTGGGACTCTGTCAATGTTTACAAAACAATTTAGAGATTTAGGAATAAAGAAACGTCTTTCTGGAAATGTTAACAGAAAGTTTCCAGGGGTTGAGGCTTAGTTCAGTCCTGTTTAAGCTTTGTATAAATGACTTGAAGAGTAGGATTTTATAAAGAAATCTAATGAAGAGGTTTCAAAATGCAAAAATCACAGCAAGGTCATAGCAAACAGGGCTGTGGAGACTCAAAAAAGCAACAGGTGAGGCTCAGCGTCAGAAGTGTAAGGATCACTGAGTGACGTGCAGGGAGCTGTTCAACAGAGAGGGAGCAGGCCCAGCGCGCTGCTGGGAGTCAGAGCCCGCCTGCCCCTGTAGTCAGCAGGAAGGACGACTCGGGACAGCATACAGAACTGCACCCTTGCAAAGCCCGCGTTCTGTCTCAGTCTAAGTACCATGTATTTATAGAAGTTTTATAAAATGGGCAGGGAAGGGAGTGAGGGTCCAGAGGGTAATGGAAAACTACCAGGGGGGAGATGTGCTCCTATGGGAGGACACCTCTTCCAAATGTTGACCATTGTTCTACACAAACGCCAAGGGGAGTGCTCACCAGACACCCAGCCCAGAGTAAGGACTTGGTCCTCAAGTACTGGCTCTGGGGCTCTACCTCACAGCCTTAGGTAAAACAAAGCACTTTCTACAGCAAGTCAGAAAGTTAAGCTTGTTATCCAAGTAGATACAGAAGGTTGAAGAGGAATCCTTGTAGAATGACCTCTGAAAAGTAACTGTAGAAAACTAGGGCCTTTTGTGATATACAGCTGAGAGGTATATGCATCCCCCTACAAACTATCCTTTAGAGTGCTTTTGAATGCTGAACCACGTAGACTGGCCCTTCCCAGTATGGTGGTTCTGATGTCCCTGAGAAAGGTGGGAGACCAGTAGCCAGGAAATAGAATTATTCAACCTGAAGCTCCCCAAACTAGTTTAAAATCAAAGCTGTTTCCTTCCTTTCCATCCTTCCTCTGGTATCCCTCCATACAAGGGGAATGTAGAACAGGCATTGCTTTGGTCTACTTAAGGGGAGGCAATACAAATACATCCAGTGAGTTCCAAGGCTTAGAGACCAAGCACGGCCCAGCTTTTTCTGGGTTCTGAAGGAGTCTGGAACTCTTGGCTATTTGACAATTGGCAGCTTTGGTCATTGTATGTTTAAGTCCTCCTTTAGGAAATGTGGTGGTAGGATATTTCATGGGATTTTTGTAAAAATCACATAAAATCTCATATTCCTGCTCACTGGGAAATGAGACTTTCATAATGAACAAATGTGAACTGGTAGTTATCTCCTCTATAATAAAAGGAGAAAGTCGTGTCAGCCCCTTGATCTCATTGGATTTCTGCCTTGGAGCTGCAAGACTCAGAACAAGAAATAACAAAGAATACCTCAAGAAAACGTGTGGGGTGACAGCACCTCTCCAAGGCCTCAGTCACTGCACTCAGTCATTTCAGCTGTGAAGCATTTACATCCATGGTACAGGTCTGTAATTTGGATTTCCTGTTTACATGGACATACTGGGACTGTGCTTAGTGTATGTGAACTTGAGTTGAAATCTTCCCTTTATCTGAGTTGTAGGGATGGCTGTTACTATCACACTCTGTTTTCAACTCCTGTAGTAGTTTCTCTGACTTAAGGCAAAAGTAGGTTCTATCCACTGGCTGGCTCGTCTTCAGTGGCTTTTCCAGCTGCCCTGTTATTGCCATAGTCTCAACCTGTATGCTTCCTTTTCCATAGTCCTATAAGAAAGAACTCCTATATGTGGAACACACAGGAGAGTAAACACTATTGGACTTATTTATGTTTGTTTCCTTTTGGGAGAAATGCAGTAGTGGGAAGGAGGTAGTTTTGAAGTATGGCCACAGTACCACAGGAACTCTCTATTCCCAAAAAAACTTTGTGTGAGGGTTTTTTGTTTTATTTAGTACATGCTAAAAACATTTGACTTCTGCTGTAGTAAAATTACTAAGTTATGGAAACCAGTGGGCTTTACCACACAAGCTAGTGGGATGACACCTCGCTGCTTGAGAAGTATCCAAGTTGTCTTCACCGCCCACACGTTCAGTCATCACTAAGCATTTCCATCTGGTGTGGCGCCTTCCTGGCTGCTGTCTGCCTTCTGCCCGAGTGGGGTCTCCTCGTTCACCCCTGGCGCAAAGGGAAGCACTCCTACGTAACCCTTCACAGTGAGGCTTCACTAAGTGACCAGACTTGGGATTTCATTTTCCTCTCATTAAGCTGCAGCCTTAGCCAGCATCTCTGATTGTAACAGGTACAGTCCCTCTCACTGTTTTTTTTTTTTTTTTTAATTTCCTGTTAGAACTGCAAGAGTATCTTTTCTTGTTGTTAGTTCAAGATTTAGCTTGAGTCTTATAGCATTTCTTCATGGAATTCCCTGCTGAAGTGTCTTCTCCTTGGCTAATCAGATGTTTGAAGTCATGAGTTTTAATGTAAGATACTAATGGTAACATTTGTCCAACTTCATGAGTCCAGCTGTTTCCCCACTCAGGGTGTTAAACAGAATTGGAATCTTTAAGACATGCTCAGGAACACTTCAAAAGAAGACAGCTTCAAAACCCTTATCCTCTCATGACATTAATTGGTAGAGAAGAAAGAACTCTGGGGGATTGCCAACTATATACAGTAGCCTTACTTCTGGTGATCACTGTCAGTAAAAGGTCAATAATGGTCAATCAATGGTCACTCCATTCTCTTCTGTCTGAGGAAAACAATGAAAATATATTGATGAACTGGAATCCTGGTCAGTATTGGAAAATTTTAATGTTGCAATAGTTAATCAGACTGTACTGGTTCTGTGAACCAACTGGAAAAATAAAAGGCAAATTAAACTTATTGAACAATGATGGTTGTGGTATATTTTATTTACAGGAATGTGAAATATATGGAGTTTTATACAGTTGTGAACAGTGTTTGGAATTTTTTTTTAAATAACTTCTTAATAGTTGTAGTAGAAATTGGGAAAGACTCAAATTTTCACAAAAAAGCCAAGAGCAGTTTTATTTGGGTGCCAAAGATGAGTGAATGCTCACCTTCCCTAGTCCAGCCAGCCGTAAGGAAAATGAACACATGGTGTCAAGGTAGAAACGCGTAATGATCACTCACCAGCAGCTCATGGGAGTCTTAGATGTTCACAAGCACACGTCATTCCACTAACTGCTGTCACCGTGTCCTTCCCGGCAGGTTCTAGCTGTTTCATCTACATTAACTGATGTGAGAATCAATCTAAATCTTAGCAACTTCAGGCTTTAACGTGAAATCATCCAAGCTCTCACGGGAATGTTTTTCTCTCTCTGAAAGCAGCACACACTGTTGTTCTGCAGCCATTCCAAAGACAGCACCTCAAAAGGTCCAGAAGGTCCCAAAGTTGAGTCACAGCAAGTGCCAACTAGGCTGCATGTCTTCTAGGTGTGGTGAACAGAGTTTTGAGAAAGACATGAGAATTGTCAGGTAATCACTGGGGGACTGGGTACTGAAGCACCAATGCAGACAGCTGCAGTAAGAGAAGCTGCAGTCAGTTATTTCTTCCATCAGTAAATCAGCCTTTTCTAGGCTTTGGTCTAGAAGAAGATGATTTTTTTGTGCTTCGAGTTGGGGATCTGTCCTTTTGACTTTAATCGCCGAACGGCCTCCCTCATATGTTTGGGTTGTAGTGGTGGCATTTCTCCCCACTTCTCACACACATCCAGTGCTAAATGGGGTGAGGATAAAGTTTGATTATCATATAAGAATTTATTAGTCACATAATCATTTTGAGTTGTATAACTCTCATTAATGTATCCCAGCTTGTAAGAAAATAAACCATAGCATTTTCCCTTCTAAAAGTTATACTAGACAATGTGTCATATTACCTTTAGTACATATCCTACACAGGGCTTTATTTTTTTTTTAAAGATTTATTTATTTAGGGCCCGGCGCGGTGGCGCAAGTGGTTAAGTCCTCGCCTTGCACGCCCTGGATCCCATATGGGCGCCGGTTCTAATCCCGGCAGCCCCGCTTCCCTTCCAGCTCCCTGCCTGTGGCCTGGGAAAGCAGTCGAGGACAGCCCAAAGCTTTGGGACCCTGCACCCGTGTGGGAGACCCGGAAGAGGCTCCTGGCTTCGGATCGGCATAGTATCGGCCCGTTGCGCTCACTTGGGGAGTGAATCATCGGACGGAAGATCTTCCTCTCTGTCTCTCCTCTCTGTATATCCGCCTTTCCAATAAAAAATAATAAAAATAAATCTTTAAAAAAAAAAAAAAGATTTATTTATTTATTGGAAAGTCAGATATACAGAGAGGAGGAGAAGCAGAGAGGAAGATCCTCCGTCCGATGATCCACTCCCCAAGTGAGTGCAACGGCCGATCCAAAGCCAGGAGCCAGGAACCCCTTCTGGGCATCCCACACGGATGCAGGGTCCCAAAGCTTTGGGCTGTCCTGGACTGCTTTCCCAGTCCACAAGCAGGGAACTGGATGGGAAGTGGAGCTGCTGGGATTAGAACCAGCACACAGGGGTTTATTCTGGGCAACAGTTTAATACTCACTGCTTAAAAAAAAAAAAAAAAAAGTTTTACCAGGATCCCAGTGCAATAGCTCAATTACCTAATCTACCTACAAGTCCTGACATGACATATGGGTTCCAGTTTATGTCCCAACTGCTCCACTTCCCACCAGCTCCTTGCTTGTGGCCTCCTGCTGGGGCAGTGGAGGATGACCCGAAGCCTTGGGACTGTACACCCATGTGGGAGACCCGGAAGCAGCTCATAGCCCCTGGCTTTGGATCAGTTCAGTCCTGGCCTCTGGCTATTTGGGAATGAACCAGTGGATGTAAGATTTTTCTCTTGTTTCTATAAATCTGCCTTTCCAATTAATAAGAATTAAAAAAAAAAATTTCCCAGCTCAGTAAAATCAGTCAGACTGCTGACTCAATAGCAAAGGGGCAATCCCCAGGGGTTACATATCAGTGACAACAACCCACAATCTCACATCGTTCAGCCCTGATGACTACTTCCTTTTCATATTTAATTTTGGCAGTAAAAACAAGCTGGTCCACTAAAGAAAAATATAAAATCAATGTCTGTCATCCTGGGGTGAGGATAGGAATCAGGGAGGGAGACTTCCTGGATGGATCCTAACCCCAACACGGAAACTGCAGAAAAAGTGTCATACAGGGCTCTCCATGTTGTGAGCTTCTAGTGCAAACAGAAATTCTCATAGGTGCTTTACTATATTCCTTAGTAGAGATAATCTTGAAAAAAAGGCCAGCACAGGTATAATCTAGTATTTGTACCCATCACCACTTACCTTCTTCCACTACCTCCCCGACGAAGACCTTGGAAATACCAGACATGGCAATAACAACGTTCTGAGACACTGAGGTGCCGGTAATGGACTGAATCAGCTTGAAAAAGAACAAAGACTGTGATTAAAACAACCCAAGATTGACATCAGCACATGGTACTAACAAATGAGCCTTGCAGGGGAAAACTGCTTCCTAATGCCTAGAGGCTAAGACTATTAGATGAGACTTCAGCTGCGTAAATGTCTTACTTCATAGTGGAGACTCCTTAGTTTACAAACTGGAATTGTTTAAATAATCGAGGGCATGTTATTTGTGTTTCCCTAAATAAAAACAGTAGCTTGCCCAAAACGTTACTTTAAAGTTACTTTAAACCGCCAGTGGACAAGGCTGGAGTCTGAATCATTCCTAATTTAAGATGAAATGCAGGGCCTGGGGCTACCACCAGCATCCCATGTGAGTGCCAGTTTATGTCCCAGCTGCTCTACTTCCCATCCAGCTCCCTGCTTGTGGCCCTGGGAAAGCAGTCGAGGATGGCCAAAGATCTTGGGATCCTGCACCCGCACGGAAGCTCAAAGCTCCTTTCTCCTGGCTTTGGATGAACTTAGTTCTGGCCATAGCAGCCATTTGGGGGGAGTGAACCAATGGATGGAAGATCTTTCTCTCTGTCTCTCCTTTTCTCTGTAAATCTGCCTTTTAAATAAAAATAAGTATCTTAAAAAAAAATAATAAAAGCTGGCAATATCACATAGTGATTGTCCTTACCCTTTTAATGGCTGCCTTCGGGAAAGCTGACCGGCGATACATTTCGTAACGGTTCAGCTGCTCCTCCGAGAAGGAAGAAACCAGGATTCTAGACAAAGAGTCCAGTGAGTAAGTTGGCTTATAAAACAGTACTGGGTAGCAAGTTAACAAAGGCAAGGCTTGGATGGCAAAGTCTCAAGTAGTTAAGCATTAGGCTTGGTGCTTAGGAGGGACAGATATTTGTAAGAACTTGGGAAAACATGAATCACAACTCCTTTCATCAAGGACAGAAACAATGTTGTATCATATTATTTGTTTTCATTATTAGGCTCTATAATTTTACCTTGCTGCATTTCATACGGATGGCAAAAATTTTAAATATCAATATACATTCAAATAAGTAGTTTTCAAAGTTATCAAGAACAATTCTATGAATGCGCGATTCTTTCAGACAGACTGCTGGCACGGTAGTTCCTGGGTGCAGCACTTATGACACCCTGGGGGCATTAAGGACACCCACATCCCCAGGGGCGGCCCTGCTCCATTTCTTGTTTACTGTATGGTGGTGATCCCCACCCCTCCTCTTATTTTTGAACAAAAGTTTATTTGTAAATGTACAACAGGCTCTAAGGTAACACTTCATTTTAACTATGGGTGGTAAATGACCTCCGGCCAGGAATCCAGATGTTCGGACAGGCATGGGGTCAAGGGCAGCATCACTGCAGGCATAAGGAGCAGCTTACTTTTTGCCAGATTTCTTAATTTCATTTGTGGCCAAGGGGCCCTTCCCTGCGGCCTTTGCTTTTACTCCTCGAGTTTCTTCTGGTCCTCTTCCTGTTTCTGCTTGAAAGTCTTACCATCCTCATCTATCCCCTGGTCTGCTTCTTGGATTGTCTCAGGGGTTTCTTTCAGCCACCTTCCCGCTGGACAGGGCACCTGCTGCCCCTTCCCCAGACCCTGGCACTGGGAGCAGAGCTGACTCCACTTTTGATTCCAGTTTCCTATTAATGTGCATCAAGATAACGGCTGAAATAATTGGGTCTCGGCCACCCATGTGGGTAAACTCAGATGCACTTCTGGGCTCCTGGCCAACTCTGAATTGGGCAGGCCTTTTGGAAGTTAGCCAGGAAATGGAAGATCCCTCTTTCAAGAAAAAAAAAATTTAGAAAATAAGCAAATTTTAAAAAACCACCAATAGCCAATATAGAGAAAAAGTTGTAAAATGAATCCTTACTATTTAATACTAAGCTAGAACTATAAATTAAAAGATAATATTTCAATGTTAAGCAAGTATTAAAAAGAATAGTATTAGAATGTAAAGAATTTCATAATATGGGCCTGGTATAATGGTTCAGCAGGCTAATCCTCTCCCTTCATGTGCCAGGATCCTATTTGGGCACTGGTTGGTGTCCCAGCTGCTCCACTTCCCATCCAACTCTCTGCTTGCGGTCTGGGAAAGCAGCAGAGGATGGCCTAAAGCCTTGAGACTCTGCATCCATGTGGGAGACCTGGAAGAAGCTCCTGGCTTCCCTTGGGAGTGAACCAGTAGATGGGAGATCCTCTTGTCTCTCCTTCTCTCTGTAAATCTGCCTTTCAATAAAAATAAATCTTTTAAAAAATTTTCATGCATGCTTGCAGAGTATGAACTGGAATACTTTTTTAGATTGGAACTTGGAACCATAAAAAGCCTTTGAAAATGCTCATATTTGGGCCTGACTGGTAGCCTAGTGGCTAAATCCTCCCTTTGCATGTGCCAGGATTCCATATGGGTGCCAGTTTGAGTCCCAGCTAGTCCACTTCCCATACAGCTTCCAGTTTGTGCCCTAGGAAAGCAACACAGGATGGCCAAGACCTTGGGAACCTGCACCTACATGGGAGATCTGGAAGAAGTTCTTGGCTGCTGACTTTGGATCAGCTCAGCTCCAGCCTTTGTGGCCACTTGAGGAATGAATTATCGGATGGAAGATCTTCCTCTCTGTCTTTCCCTCTCTCTGTATATATTCTTTCCAATAAAAATAAAAAATAATTTTTTAGAAAGAGAAAAAGCTCATATTTGAACCAGCAATTATACTTCTAGGATAAATATGTGAACATGTACCCAAAGACACCTCAGAATTCTGTTAACCTAAAAGATTCAACCAGAATAGTTACAGGATTGATTATGTTTTACCTGAGCCACAAAATGGGATAGAGAACAGCCATTAAAAATGAATTTACTGATAGGAAACTATTTAGCTTTTATACACCATTAAAAATATTTGCCTAAATTATTAAGTTTAAATGTGTATACTTAAACTTTTGGTAATGGCATTAATTTTGTTAAAAAATTCTCTCAGTTATTTGAGGTGAACTAATACCACTTTTATAATCAGAAAATATAACAGAGCTATTTTCAACTAGAACGAGATTATATCCTGGAGGTAAAACTATTAGTACGTAAAATACCATACATAATGAGAAAAGAAGATTATGAACAGGATTTGACAATTTTCTTAAAACAAAACATCTACTTAAGATAGAGAGGCAGAAACAGCTTCCATTCACTGGTTCACCTCCCAAGTGACCACAGCACCCAGGCCTGGGCCAAGGGGAAGCCAGCTACCGGGAACTCCATCCTGGTCTCCACATGAGTGGTGAGTGGCATCAGTATAAGGAGTTGGGCCTATCTGCTGCCTCCTTTTAGCCAGGACCCAAATAGACATTTGGACATGGGATACCAGTGTTGGATTAGCTTAGCTCATCGTGTCACAATGCTGGGCTGGCCCAAGTACTTAGCATTTCCCCTCCAATCAATCAAAACCCACATAAAATACTGATGTGTACAGAAAATATCTTGGATCATATTAACAGAAGCATTATCACCATAAATATTTTGGTGGTAGAGTGATAAATTTCTATGCCACAATAACGTATTAATTACTTTATTTCCTCTTGTGCTAGAAATTTAGGAGCCAAGAACTATTCTTTGGATTTGTGTGGTTAGGTCAGGGCCTTGGAAATGGATGGCCCAACAAGAGACTTACTGCATCTTCTGAATCTCATCTTCATCTACTTTCTGTTTCTTCTCCTTCTTTTCCTTGGTGTCTATTTTCTGCTTTTTTGCTGCAGGAGGAAGCAATGAGTCTTCCCTTTCGGCTGCCGTTAAATCTGAGGCATCCTGACTCTTGAGCTGGGAAGATGAGAAAGATTGTGACATATTTTTGTACCTATCCATAACATAGCAAATCCATTTATTGAGTAGTTTTTTTTTTTTTTATTATTCCTGGACTGGGGTCTGGTGCAGTAGCCTACTGGCAAAGTCCTCGTCTGGCACATACCAGCGTCCCATATGGGTGCTGGTTTTAATCCCAGCAGCTCCACTTCCCATCCAGCTCCCTGCTTGTGGCCTGGGAAAGCAGTTGAGGACAGCCCAAAGCCTTGGGACCCTGCACCGCGTGGGAGACCTGGAGGCAGCTCCTGGCTTCAGATCAGCTCTCCTGAAAAGAAAGGCTGTTAAATAATTTAGCTTTCCAGTTCAGCTATGGTTATAGTTTCAGTGTCTACCAGGATAATGAAATGGCAAAGACCATGAAAACTGCTCCCTGGGCCTACTCTCCTGCCTTGTTCTTTATCAGGAATATCAGCAGAATCCTCTCTATCCAAGCAGTTCTGCTTGAGATCTGCAGATGTTTTTCCTGCTGCCAATCTCATTTAGACAGCATCTCAGAAAGGAGGCCCTGGGTTGCGCCTCTGGCCTTGCAGCTGAGATGCTGGCTGGAATGACCATGTCACCTGCTGGAGTGCCTGGGTTTCGGGGCTAGCATTATGGTGTAGAGGTTTAAACTGCTCTGTGTGATGCTGGCATGCCTTATGGGTGCCAGTCAGTGAGTGCTGGGGTTTGAATCATAGCTGCAGCTTTTAGTTCCAGCTTCCTGCAAATGCAGACCCCGGGAGGCAGCAGGTGGTAACTCAGATGGCTGAAGCCCTGCTCTCCAGGTAGGCATGCTGGACTGAGTTTGAGTTGCTGGCATTTGGGCAGTGAGCCAATAGGTGAGTGTTTTCCTGCGTGCCGGCCTCCCTTCCCACAAAACCCTCACTTTGGCAGTTTTAAATAAGTCTCTCCTACATGTAGTATCCTTTTCTTCCTCTCTACTTCAATCTCACTGAATATGAATGTATTTATTTCCAATGACAAGACTGAAAACTTTAAAGTCAGGTTTGTCTCTTACTATTTATATAGCTCCCCCCAAAACATTTAACACTTTTGTTCATGTTCAATGTTTAACACATCTTTTTAATATAAAATATTGAGTATGTAATAAAGTTCATTAATGAGATTTTAGTTTTGTTTTCCTTAAAGAAGACTCAGACTGGGCCCAGCATGGTGGTTAGAGGCTAAAATCCTAGCCTTGAACGTGCCAGGATCCCATATAGGCGTCGGTTCTAATCCCGGCAGCTCTGCTTCCCATCCAGCTTGCTGCTTGTGACCTGGGAAAGCAGTGGGAGATGGCCCAGTGCCTTGGGACCCTGCACCCGAGTAGGAGACCTGGAGGAGGCTCTAGGCTCCTGGCTTTGATTTGGCTCAGCTCCAACTGTTGCAGTCACTTGGGGAGTAAATCCTCAGATAGAGGGCCTTCCTTTCTGTCTCTCCTCCTCTCTGTATATGACTTTGCAATAAAAATCAATAAACCTTAAAAAAAAAAAAGAACTCAGATTTAAGTTCAGAGAAGAATATGGTCAGGGAGTGTAGGGTGGTGGTTGGGAGCGGGGATAGCATATCTGATAACCTTCTCATTTTCTTTCTAGTTATTTATTGTACAAGTTTCCTAACCTCTCTGTGCTTCAATTTTAGTGATTGACATTTTTCTAAATGGTCATCAGTTTTTCATAAGCTTCACACTGATCTGACCTAAACTGAAAAACTAACTTTCCATTTCTTATTCCTGCCTATACTGCTGTGCACAAGCATTTCAGAGAAACAAGTCTTCATTTTCTAATTTATAATTTTTAGGTACTAATTAATTTGCATCTGCTTTTATCCTCATTAACTCCTTGTTCCCATACATTTTTGGCTAATTTTTTTCCTGATTTTTTTTTTTAGTTGGATGCTTACTTGTAGCAGAAAAATATGTCAAGAGGCTGGCATGGAAGTGCCTGGGTGTTGATGCCTGGCTCTGTTCCTGATTCCTGCTAGCATGTAGCCTGACAGCCAGCAAGGAATGGCTCCAATGTTTCAAGCTTTTGGGGGTATGAATCAGGAGATGGGAGAACTTTTTTTTCTAGTAAGTACCTTTTTTTTTTTTTTTAAAAAGGAATTAAAAATACATAAAGCTATGAATTTTTCTCTAAAACAGGCTTTTGTCAAATCTGAAAGGATTCAATACAATCTTCTGTTAGTTAATCTAAGGACTATTAAATGTCCAGGTTGTTAGTTTTTTAAAATTACTATTCTTGTGGGGCACTTTGTTGTTAGTTTCATGTTTATTTTACTATAGTTACAAGATGTGGTCTGCAATAGTTTTTACTGTCAATAACTTTTTCCTAGTAGTCTGGTACATGTTCCATTTTTAAAGATTTATTTATCTGACAGGCAAAGTTATAGATATCATTGGTTCTGCTAGTTCACTCCCTCCATGGCCACAACCACTGGTATTTGGACCAGATCTAAGCCAAGAATGTTGAATTCCATCCTCGTCTCGCACATGGGTGCAGGTGTCACTTGGGCTATGTCCCGCTGCTTTCCTGGGCATTTTGACAAGGAGTTAGCTTGGAAGTGGAGCAGTGAAGACGGAACTGACGACCCATATGGGATTCTGGGGTCACAAGAAACTTCATACGCTGTGTCCCAACACTGGCCCTTGAGTAATTTTAAAAGTGTTTCAGAAGAGTAACCCTCCGCTGGCTGCAAATGCCTATATTGCAGTTGATTAGGCAAAGCATTCAAACTCGTTTTGTCTTCTAAACCGGGTTTGAATGTCTTTTAAAGAATAGCTTGGTCCATTGTTTCTTCCTAAACGCTCACCGTCTATGGTTGGGGGCAAAGACGACCCAGCTAACGGCCAGTCTAGGGGCTCCTAAGTTCCTTCTAGGAGGTTGGAGCTGAGACTGGGGTCCCCAGGGGTGCGCGGCTGGGCGACACTGCGGGGTTCTCCAGCGCAGCTCCACGATGGACGGACGTGGTGTCCCTTAGGTCACCGTCCAGGACGTCCCAGGAGCCTCAGCACAGGCCTTCAGCATCCATCCCAAAGCTCCCTGCCGCTGACTTGGCCTGTGCTGACAGGGGCGAAGACATCGAACGTTCCCTCAGACGCCGGGCCGGGCGACCCGCGAGCCTCAGGGAGCACGGTCGGCTCCGCGTTCCTCCCACACGCCCTCGGGCTGCCGAGGAGCGCAGGCCGCGGCGAGCCCCGCTCCTACCTCGCCCTCCTCGGCCGCAGCCTCTTTCACGTCCGCGTCTCCATCACCGTCCGTCTCCTCCGGGATGCCGTCCGTGTCCGTCGTCCCCGCGCCCCCGAGCGCGGCGGCCGTCTCCTCTGACTCTGCCGCCTCCCCGCCCTTGTCCGCAGGGGACTCGCGGGCATTGTCCATCACAGCTGGAACTGGAAGGCCCCGGCGATCTCGGTTCTGTCAGACGCGGAGTTCGCGATCGCCGCGGCGTCTCCGGGGAGCCGGCTCGCACCCGGCGCGCCGCGCTGACGTCACCGCTACCGGCGCTCGCTGGGGCCATTTCGAGTCGCGCGTGGAGCGGCTTGGGGGCCGCTGGGTGGTGAGGAGAGGGAAGGCGCTGGCTCCTCCGCCCTGGGCAACCCGCGTTGGTGAAGGAGCGCAGTTGGATTCACGGAAGGGCTTCCTCCCTCCCTCCTCTATCCTTGACGCCTCGCTAAACAGCGCGATGTTAACCTTTTCCTTAAACCGTGTCCCCCAGCGTCCCGGTGGACCTGAGAAGGCGGCTACCTCCCTGACAGGGGCTCAGACCGCCACCACTTCCCGGGCCCCTCAAAGTCGGATTTATCCCATTGATTCACGCACTCCGCAGCTTTTGGCCGCCTAGTCCTGAGTCAGGAGCAGTGCCGGCGGTAGGGATCAAAGCAGAAGCCGCCTCCCTCAGCCGATGATTCCAGCTCCCCACGACTCCGCTCGTGCTGAGCCGCTCAAACCAGGCTTCTGTATCGGCTGGGTTTATCTCAGCACCAGCAAAACGGACAGATTGGGCGTGTGTGTGCGTGTGCCTCCTTTGAACTTTTTCCCTTTAATGAGACCTTTCATGGTTTGACATGATTTCCTCTCTCTTGCCACAGAAGCCCGCGGTGGGAGGCAGGAGAGGGCGTTTTATTCACTCGTGTCTTACTAGACGTCCGCACCTGTGACCTATTCATTTCTGCATGCTTCAAGAACACTCTGGCAAATGTAGATGCGTGTGATCACATTCCTCCCTTTGTTTCCACACCGCCTGGGCGAATTACCGTATTTCCTGACCCGTGAGCTACAACCCCCACTCCCCGCCAAAACAAAACCTTGGCAAAGAAACGCTACTTGGTGAGGCGCGCACAGGATGCGGTCCCCTCGGTCCCTCCGCCCCGCTGACCCGCAGCCCCGCCGGCCGCGGCCACACCCTGGTCCACCTGCGCCGGGACGCGAACCCCGCCCAGCTAGGTGCGCAGGGGGCGGGGCATGGGCGCGGTGACGCGTGACGCCGGATCCCGGAAGTGACGCGCCCGTGGAGAGGGGGGGAAGAGGCGGGGGGAGGGGGTGGTGTCCCCGGCCGGTCCTGTCGGGGGGAGGGGGGGCGCGTTGCCCGGAGACGGAAAGTTTGGGAGCCGAGCCGGCTCGGCGGCGGCCCCGGGGTGCGGGGTGCAGGGGGCGGCGAGCCAGGGGATGGGGAAGGAGCAGGAGCTGCTGGAGGCGGCCCGCACCGGGCACCTCCCGGCCGTGGAGAAGCTGCTGTCCGGGAAGCGGCTCTCCTCGGGCTTCGGGGGCGGCGGCGGCGGCGGCGGCTCCTCGGGGGGCAGCGGCGGCGGGAGCGGCGGCCTCGGCTCGTCCAGCCACCCGCTCTCCAGTCTGCTCAGGTAAGGGACGCGCCGAGGCCGGGCCGGCGCTTGGAGCCCCCTCGGCTCTCCTCTCTCTGTCTCTCTCTCCTCCGAGGTCCCCCCGGGGCTGGCGGCGCGCTCCGGGGCGGCCGGGGCAGGCGGGCCCCGCGGGGCGCCGAGCCCGAGGGGGCGCGGGTGCGGGTCGGCGCGGCGCCCGGCTCGCTCTCCTCGGCTCCTGTCCTGACCCAGCTGCGAAGAATGGTGGGAGTGCCCAGGTGGCAGCAGCTCCGCCGCCTCATGGCACGGGGCGGCTGCCCTCTCGCCGGCTGTGGGATGCCGGCTGTCGGAGCTCACAAAAGCCGCGGGAGAGCCAATACTGTGTGCGTGCACGTATGCGAAACCTGCCTCGCTCTCCGCAGGAGCTCCCACTCCTGGCCGCTCTCCTGGAGGGGCTCCCCTTCTCCGTGGGAACTTGGAGCCTTCCACCGGGCTCTGCGGGACCTTGGCTTTTGTTCGTATCAGAATCCTCTCTGGGTCGGTCAGGTTCAGGGTCTTGGAGACCCTCCAGGGTACTTAAAGCCCAGTTGGTGGTTCCTTGGAGTGAACTTTGCGAGATTTGTCTGGGAGGGGGGTGGGAGGAGATGTCTGCTCATCAACAAATGAAAGTTTGCAAGCACTTGGGAAATTGAGGGATGCGTTGCACTGTTCTATGGTTTGTTGTACGCTTGAATCGGAAGCTGTCAGGCTGAGTAGATGGAAACCGCTTCTGTGTGGTTTGGAAGGGGGGTTGCACATGCTTGGTCAGTGAGTAAAATATGTTTTCTGCAGCACTTTCATAGCCTGTTTTCTTTTCCTTCCTTGTTCTTTTGAGGTTTTTGAGAAGTGGAAGTTCGTTTAGAAATGGCTTCGTTAAGCTTTTGTTCCCCATGAATTTATTTATGTTACTTCAGTTTGCATGATGCAGGACCCAAGAAGGCCCGGTTAAGTCTTTGAAGCTCTGAGGACCAGGCCAGGTTCTTACAGGGAGATTTTAGAAAGCGGTGAGTGTGAGAGAAAGCACCCTTCTCAGGAGCTTTCTTTAGGAAGCAGCAGACAAGCCATCCAGGACGGTCTTGTCCTTTTTGTCCAAGCCTCTGCAGTGCAGGCTTACAGTGAGTAGTAGAGGTTTATCAAATAAACAAAAATACTGACTGGAGTAAACTGACAGTGGTACTTTTGTAAATGTTAGTAGTTTAGAGGACGCTTTGGGATGGGCTGGAGCGCAGACCTCCTAGGAGGAACAGAACTGTGGAGGATTGGGGTAGTAGAACTGCGACCGGAGTATTCAGGTGGGCATGCCTAGGTCAGAGAAAGACGTGAGAAAGGAGGCTTATCAGGGACTTGTAGGACACCAGGAGGAGATCTGCTGGGATCTTGGAGCAGTTGGGTAGGATACGGGTAGATAAGAGTGGAGGGGAGCCCTCCCATGTGTCCATCAGTTTGACCTTCTCAGGTGGCTCGCCTGATAACGCACAGGTGCTCCTTGAATGCAGGTTGAGTGCGCGGTTGGGCTTTGCGTCTTGATGGGTTTGATACCGTGTGTTTCTGATCTCCAAATGGTGAAGGGAAAGACTGTGCAAGTTTGAAGGTGCCTCTGCCTCTAATGAGCAGATGATGTAGCTTTTGGAGGTTTGCCAGAGAGACTTTAACCCCCTTCAGACTGTCCCGCTAGAGTGAGAAGTTTCCGCTTATCTCCAGCCTTCAAAGTGCTGGTCAGACTTTTCTTAGAGCTCCCACTCAGAGACTTTTGAAATGTTGCCGTAGTTCTGACTGCCACGGAGTTAAGCAAGACCAGGAAATCTGTTGAGCAGAATGTTTTTTTTACTGCTGGTGTGTCCAGTCCCTGCCGTGCAGTGTAGGTGGCGTCTCTGATCGAGCGTTAGGAGAGCTGACTCCTTCTGATGCGCTCTGTGTCTTGTATGAAGACGAGATGCCAAAAAGCGTTGAAAGCTTCGTTCGTTGCCTGCTCGTTCCTGGGGCCAGCAGGCAGGGAGCAGCTGCGGTCACTAGTTGGATTAGATGTACCATCAAATAGATGTGGCTAAACTTAGTCAAAGGTTTCTGAATAAATGACACCGTGCACCTACGTGATCCTTAGGTCAGCATGTTCTCTCTGGTTAGGTTTAGAAGTGATAGAAAATGGGTTCTTAGGTCCCCAGGTGCTCCTGTGGTGTTTTACATAGAGCTATCTTAAGCCTTAGATTTGGTGTTGTATTAGCTGACTACTGCCAGCTGCACACCACCTTTGTCCACTTGTCTGAAGCTGTCGGGAGTAAGCGCCTACAGCTGCAGTGAGTCAAAGGTTCCAAAGGACAGACACAGGTGTGTGCTCATCTGTTTATGGTCCACCCTTTCCCTTCATCTGCAAAGACTGTGATTGTCCTTAAGCTACAAAATGTCCCTTGCCCTTCCCCCATCTTTGTTTCCCTCCCCCCCCCCCCCTTCCTCTTTTGTTTCTTAGACTGCTTGGGCTTAGGTGTTAGCTTTTTGTAGTTTTCTCTGCTGACCCTGATACTTAACAGATTGCTCTAACTTCTCTTCTTTGGGTCTCACCTTCTGTATTACGAAATAGCTCATTGGCTTGTGCTTTGCCTAGCTTTGGCCTGCCACTGTAATACTGATACTTACATGTAATAAGCCTCAGTCATCCCATTGACACTGAACCTGACAATCAGGTAGCAAAGGAAAACTTGTACTAGCAAGCCAGTTCTTATAAACTTGACTGTTCTCCCAGCCCTCATTTATTTTCTGTCCCTTCATTTAGAGGTGGTCAAAGGGTGTACTTAAGACTGCTTGGCCTTGACTCAGGCTGCCTGGATTCACAGGCCACCACTACCATTGTTGAGCTGCTTGACTCGCTGTAGTTTAATGGTTTTGAGCCTTGGTTTCTGTATCTGTAAAATGGGGATGATATTAGCTGTGGTATGGGTATAATCTCGTCTAGTGAGTGGAATGAACTTTTATTTCCAGCATTTTCTAAATCTTCAGTTCAGCATGACCTTTACCATGTTGTGCCTGCTGAATGCAGAGTGCCACATTTGACACATTTGAAATGGTGTTCTTTCCTGCTTAGAGGTCTGCTTCCTAATGATATATAAGGCAAACACACTAATGCCATTCAGGGATGAAATGGTTACCCATTGTACACTCAAGTGATTGTTAGATGCGCTTGATGCGTTTCAGACTTGTTACATTGTAGCAGCTCTCCAGAGTTAACCACCTTACCCATGCATGGTCTCTTCCTTTGATAGCTTATGTCTGTAACAGGTGATGAAAGAACTCAAAAAGGCAATATATGGTTAGTATAATTTCTATCCCCTATCTCCCTGTCATTGAGGGTATTAGCAGAGTCCTACACACCTGGTTAGGCCCCAGGCATATTGTAGTGTTATTATAATTTATGGTTACTATGACTGTTAAGCATTGAATAAAGATAGAATTATATGTAACTTGTGCATGAAGTGGAAATAATATTTTAGTTGGGCATACAAAAATAAATTTAGTGTTTTTGTTACTTAAAAGGATAAGCAATAGATCATCTGAAATGTCTGTTCAGACTAACTAGCTCTGCGGAGGTTTTGGACCCCCTGGATTATGCTTTCTGTCTTATTTTTTTTTTTTAAGATTTATTTTTATTATTTTTTCATTGGAAAGGCGGATATACAGAGAGGAGAGACAGAGAGGAAGATCTTCTGTCCGATGATTCACTCCCCAAGTGAGCGCAACAGGCCGATACTATGCAGATCCGAAGCCAGGAGCCTCTTCCGGGTCTCCCACGCAGGTGCAGGGTCCCAAGGCTTTGGGCCGTCCTCGACTGCTTTCCCGGGCCACAGGCAGGGAGCTGGAAGGGAAGCAGGGCTGCCGGGATTAGAACCGGCGTCCATATGGGATCCCGGGCGTGCAAGGCGAGGACCTTTAACCACTTGTGCCACCGCGCCGGGCCCTTTCTGTCTTATTTTTACATTTGATCTTAAAAGGCCAAGAAGTGGATATTTATCTCCTTTTAAAATGGTTGAATGGATCTGTGTCTTAGTTTATAGCTTGAGAGCTTAGGACAGGCACTGTATTGCCCTTAAGAAAAAAAAAAAGCTTTGTTGCATTTGTTTGAAAGGCAGTGTTATAGAGAGAGAGGGATACAGAGAGGTCCTTGACGTGCTGGTTCCTTCCCCAAGTGATCACCGTGGCTAGGATGAAGCCAGGAGCTTTATCCAGATTTTCCCTGTGTCTGTGCAGGTCCCCAAACACTTGGGCCATTTTCTGCTACGTTGCCAGGCACATTAGCAGGAAGCTGGGTTGGAAGTGGAGCAACCAGAACTTCAGCTGGTGGTCATTAGGGTGCTGGCATCACAGGTGGCAGCCTGACCCACTGCACCACTGTTGTCGTCTGCCCCATTGAAGGTGAATTCTAACAACTAAAAGGCCGAGAGATGCGAGAAAAGGAGATATGAAAGGAAAACAGATCATAGAATAGTTTGACTATAAATTGAGTTACGAACGCAATGCTCCTGAATACTGACTGGAAAGATAAGTGAAATGCATTCCTCAGGGTTCAGAAACAAAGATGAGCTAACCCAGAGGTTAGAGGTGTGGAGGGAATTGTCATGGTTGGGAAAAAGTCTGTACTTAAAATGAGGAGAGAAAAGTAAGTGAAGGAAGAGGAACCTATAGAGGCTTGCTGGAGAAATTTGAAAATTTATAGACAAGATAAGCTACTGTAAGCTAATTTTCACTCCATTTGTTTGTGTGTGATTTTTGGGGGGTGGGGTAGGGTGGAAGATTATCCCCAGACACAAGGTAAGAAAGTGTCCTGAAAAGAAATGAAGGGTAGGAATTTTTTTTTAAAGATTTATTTTTATTATTTTTTCATTGGAAAGGCGGATATACAGAGAGGAGAGACAGAGAGGAAGATCTTCCATCCGATGATTCACTCCCCAAGTGACCACAACGGCCAAAGCTATGCCGATCTGAAGCCAGGAGCCTCTTCTGGGTCTCCCACGCGG